GAAAAGATGACAAAACTGTAATTTTAGCTATACCTCCCCATTGGATAAAAAAAATGTTAGACTAAACATGGCGTATACCTACAACAATTTCACCATATCTTTTTCTTTCCACACCTTCTAAAATAATCCAATTTTAATGTAACAAACTATAATTATTTACATTCATAGCAACCACTAATGTCTATCCCACACATCATTGTAATGTACATTTAGGAGTGTGTTACATTTAAAAACAAGTAAGTATGCATACTCTCTACAAATGGGGCGTTTATTTTTTTTTTTCTTTAGAAAAACTCAGGGACCAACAAAGTGTAATAGCGGCATTTTCGCCGTTCCAAATGGTCTTCTAAGTTAAAAATTCAAATCAACTTTCGTTTTTCTTTTATTGAAAAATATCTCAGTTTTAATTCCTGTTTCGTTGAATTTACATTTTAGGACAGTTAATATATCTTTGTCAGGCATGACCACTAAGTTGACTTAAGTCGACTATTTAGGGTATGGTCCGTTATTAACTGCAAGTAACCAGGATTTTTTGACAGCGGTTCCTAAAAAAACAAATTTCTTGGTTACATTTGGACCACGATCGAGATTTACATCACTTTTGTGAAAGATTGACATTCGACTTAATAGTAACCGTCAAAATATAGCGGTTAGTGAATTGATGTTTGGGTCCTCCGAGCAATTACTACTAGAGGGAGTCTTCCCCCCTTCCCCGCGCTAAATTTTGTTAGCAACATCTACTCCCCCCGAGGGGGAAAATACCTCTTCTGTAATTGGCTTATTTAATCAGCGTTGCCAAGTTTGACAGCGCCAGAAGTGTTCTGTGGGCGCCAGTTCTGACAATTTCTGACACATGTCAATTTCTTATTTGTATTTTACGGAAAATATTATTATTTATAACGTTGTAAGGGTTGTAAATGTATATTTAAGATTTATTATCTCTAATAATATGGTGAAAACATGCTTTATGTGTAAAAGGCCTGTTGAAAATGCTTCTTCAAGATAATATCATAAGTAAGTACAGACACAACCTAATTATCAGAGGCGGTGCATTAGGCAATCACCTTTAATTTGTAATTAAACTTTCTTATTTTCTTATCGAAAAATTAAAATTAAGAGCAAGTACACTCCAGCTAAGTTCGTCTTTATCCGTCTCATAATGATTATAGTAAAGGTTAATTACTTATTATTATTTTAATATCACATCTTTGTAAAGTTTGTTATTTTTTTTAGGTTTACTTTTCTTGATGTGAGAAAGAAATACATGGTTCCAAAATATAGGAATTCAACAAGTGACCACCTGAATAACTTTTTATGCTAATGAACATTTTTATTACAGACCTCAGGGAAGGAAAATATTAAAGAAAAATGCAATTTCGACGAAAGAAGTATAATAATCAATCCTGTCACTATTTCTACACAATATTCATCTGCTACTAAAATACTAAAACAGCAAGTAAGTAGAGAAACTTACGTTTCTTTCAAAAAGAATGTTTAAGGAAAAAGGCATAGCTATTTTTTTGTTGACACTTTTTTTTAACTAATCTAAAAGACTAATTTTGTGTATTGTTTAAATGTTAATTTTTTGTTCTTAATTTGTTTAAGGTTTAAACAAAATGAACTTCTAAGATATGCATGGAATATCCCAAAAGAGCTAAGGAAGGTTTTAAAATTCTTAAGAAAAGTATTCAGAGCCAAAAACATAAAATAGTCTTCCTGTCCAAAATATAAATAGGTATAAATATATTTAGATAATATGAGTTATTTTTTATTTTATTAATAGAACATAATTTGCTTCTAAATCACTACCTAATGAACTATATTATATAGTACAAAACTAACCAAGAATATCACATTATTCATGTTTTTTTTTTATTTCCTTAAAAAACGTCCCAAAAAAAGTGAATATTTATTATTGGAGTTAACATCGTTATACTAAAACAATACTAGAACAACTTAAATAATGTGGATTTTGACTATTTTAAGTTATGCAGATCATTATGATCTAAAAAAATGTTTGTCTGGTGCTATAGTCAGGTATAAAAACATTTATTTATTTAAACACAGTTGCAATATACATTTTATTTAGTTTTTAAGTTAAAACCTATTAGGACATCCTAAAATTACTTTTTTCGTTTGATGTGAGATTAATTATTCTACATTTTTGTTGGTGAAATAGGATATATTAAGATGTCTTACTGTTTTCTCTGATTATCTAAAAAGTTAGAACAATATACAAAGACTGTTATAACAAAAAAGAGATATACTTTTACTTTAACACACAATTAGTCAGTTCAATTGTACGATAATTTAAAGCAGAAATCCAGAAAACTTTAAAAATGTGTTTAAATGTGTTTTTACTATAACAAGGGCATAATTATTAAAAAAACTTGGCACATTAACATTGACGATAGGTTTTTATAATATATATTATAAAAATCACAACGAACTACACAAAATGACATTATTAATAATTTAGCAATAAAAAAGTTAAGTACAATGATGACATTAAAAGTTGAGTTTTTCGAAATACTTTTTTTAAATTGTCTCAGTAACTACCTAGTATTTTTCTAGCACAATGATATTATATGAATGTGCATTGTGTGATATCTTATATTTTAGGAATAAAATTATTATTTTTTTGCAGGTTTCTGTTAACAACGATTCCAAAAACTTTTGAAAATATTATTAAAATGGCATTTGCAAATATAATTCTCAATCAAGAGCTTTTGATCTAACATTAAATTTTTATTTTCCATAAGGTTATAGCTTCCTAAGAAGAAAGTGTAACAAGACTTACCAGACTCAAAATATCAAAATTTTACCAACCAATTGATGGTTCTACTGGTTTTCATAGGAAAATTCTCCTCGAAACTACTAAAAGAAAAGTGGCAGAGGCAACCGAAGAAGGCAAAAAAGTCTTTTGCAAAACAAAAACTAGAAATTTGTTTAAGAATCTAATTATTGTTTGAAGTTTTACCATTAATAATTTTTGATAACGATTTAAGATTATGAAGTTCTATTATGAATTTTACTCTTTGATAAACTATGTTTAAATTTTTATTAGGACCAAAATAAATTATAATTTTCATTTCAACTACAAAAACCCTCATAATATTAAAAAGGGGGAAAACGTTAGATTAGTTATGTTCAGGAATAAACTCTTTAAACATGTATCTACCTAAAATGTGTTACTTTTAGAAGGTATGTTATTAACTTTCTATTTATACTTGTATTAATTTATTTCATTTTATTATCTGTTGTATTTTCAAATTGATTTTGATATTAATCTTATCTTTTTATATATTTTTTATACTCACATATATGTTTTTTTCATTGAAACAAACGTTTATTAGCTTATTAAATATAATGAATTCGTGTTGTTTTATTATATGCTTGTATGAATGATTACTTTTATTTCCTTTTAAAAATGAATTTCGAAGATAAAGCCGAAACGGTGAGTGAGAATAAAAATTAGAAGAAAGTGACGATATTTACTGGAGTTTTCATCTACATGCTTCTTTTTCTAGCCATCTACACCTGAGCCAGCAAGATTCGTCTTCCCTCCATCCTTACATTCTCCAGATTTACAGAGAAAACGCCGTCCTCTTTAACATATCCAGACCTTCTTTGACGGGGACTATACCACTACTTTACATTATCACAGCTTTAATTATTTCTTATCCCGAGCAATTTAAATGTATTTGTAATTGCTCATTCTCACCTCTTCTCTTGTAGATTCCGTACTCAGTTTTATTATTTTTAGTTACGTTTGCACTTCTCTTTTATTTTCACAGCTTTAATTCTATAAAGCTGTAACGCTACAATATGGATCCATTTATGTGGTTTGTACTATTTAATGTTATTCGTAAGTGACCAAGCTATTATAATAATTAGAGATTATTGTATTACAGGTCTGAAGATGTTCCTGTAAGGCCGAAACTAGTCGCTCCTGTATTTATAATAAAATTGATTTTAAGGGTTTATTCTTCAATTGAAAAAATTAGACCTTTACAGTGATTTTGTTTCTTTTCCTGCATTAGACAAATATAAGACGGAATTCATTTTAAAAATAGTAAAATTAGCAAATTTTTTAGTTTTTTTTTTACAATTAAAACGTTTGGACAATGTGTTTTTATAGATAAATGATACGCCACTGAACAAGAAGGATGTTTACCTTCCCCCTTGTGCCCGCTTCCTCACTTCCTCTACAGATGTTGCTAACACAACAATCGCCTACAAACTCGTTTTCACGCTCCCTCTATTAGTAATTGCTCGAAGTTTGGGTCAGAATTTTCAGGTAACCGCGTCCCTAATTTAACCGATTTTTCAGGAATGTCAAGCAGAGCGGTTAGTTTTGGACCGAGTAACCGTTATTTCGTTTAATAACGGACCATACCCAAAAAGAAGGATTGTGACAACTGAAGTTGACATTTTGAGGGTCAAATCAAAAAGATGACAGGGGGGCTATTTTCAAACTCGAGAGAATTCTTTTCTCTCAAGAGAAATGTCATACGTCAACGTAAAACCGTATTTTTAGGGCTCTTAGGGCCAGTGTGAACTCACTGACTGTTTCTCTCGGTTTATTTAGAGAGAATTAAAATCTTCCTAAGAAATTTAATCCTCGATGCCTTTAAAAACATTTCCACATTGACGTATGACATTTCTGATGATAATCTAGAGAGAAATGAGTGCTCCCATACTTTGAAAATAGCCCCCCAGCTGAAGTGTATATTCTATGGCTACAACCTAATTCTGACAACTGAAGTCGACATTTGTCAGCAAAACAGTTGACAATTTTCGTAGCTATTAGACATTAGTTAAATTACACTCACAATTTATATTTAAGTTGGTATAGCGCGTGAACGGAAATAGGTAAAAAAATAAGCGCCATTTTGTTATATAAGTTGATTTGAATTCGTTTTTTTTTTGTTGAATATGAGTAAGATTTAAAGGTACATTATTTTTAAGGGTTTCTTAATTTTAGATAGAGAAGAATTTTATTCTCTCAATTTGTGCCATTCAGCTATTTGTCTACGCGGTGAGTTACAGACTTCGTTCCAATGGTGCAAGGCCGATCCTGTGCATTTGGGGCCACCCAAGTCCAACCTGCCTATCACCTGAAACGGATAATCCAAATTAGATACTGCTGACTATTGTTTCTATTTTATTTGATCTAAAAATAGCAGTTAAGGAAAGTAAAGTTATGAATAATAAATAAAAAAGGTCCCAGGACAGACCCTTGAGGAACTCCCTTTAAAAAAAGTGCTAACGCCACTAAAGCTTTTTTGTATCAAGCTGTTTTAAACAAAAGATGTACTAATCTGATTCGGATTCGTGCTGAAAGAAACAAAATACTTAGTAGTAGCATTATCGTTTGTTGTTTACCTCATTTTTGGTTACTCTGTCCCAATCTAAGAGTAAGAATTCTAGACTAACACCTTCCAATCCTTCTCCAGCCTGTGGAATATCGAAGACGAAACTTTCGTTGAATACAGGACCGAGGGTTCTTTTCTTCACGTGCGTCTTCTTCTTGGCAATCCTTTGACCTGGAAAAATACCAAATAACACGTTCGAGAAATATTGTTAAACTTCAAATTTAATAAAATCGAAATTAAAAATTAACTAGACAAAAATTCATATCGTGGCAAATTTAGCTGGACAAAAAGTGTTGATAATGGTTTATGTCCACTAGGTCGTTTACGCGTATTTGTGCTTGCAATATTTTCTAATGCACTTGCTATTCTTATATAAAAGTAATCAATTAGTTGACAAAATAAACACAATGGTATTTTTTTGGTTTCTGAAACGAAATGAGATTTAAATTTTTAATAGCCGAAACGCAGAAACAAAAAGAAAATTGGTAATTTTATCAATCCGTGTTGCCACCTCTAGGCACTATGCAAGCTTATATTCGCCTTGACATGCTTCTTATTAAATTGTGAACAATTGTCTTGGGGTATGTTTTCCCATTCTGCTAATGCTGCATCAATAGGCTGTGCGACATTTACTGCATTGTTTCGATGAACTCTAACCCTTCTTCTGATAAGATATGATTTAGGTCTAGTAAACAAGCAAGCCAATCTAAAACTGTGACACCTTTTGTTTCAAGACATTATTTACTCTAGCCACTCTGGTGGTATGGGGAGGTGCATTATCGTGCATAAAGTTGAAATTATCCCCAATTGCAGATCTACAAAGCCTAACGATTGGTTCTAGCACTAAATCAACATACATCGGATTGGTTAAAGTTTGTTGAAGTGTTCACAATGGAGTTTTTGCTCCCAGCATAATACCTCCCTAATTTCTCCTTGATATCTTGATACAGATCTGGCAGCGAGGAGTCTCGCTAAACTTCCTGGAGCTCTGAGAACCCGAATTCGATGGTCATCTGATCGTAGGCCAGTTCTGATTTTATCCGAAAAAAGAACATTTTGCGAATTTTCAATCGTCCTGTTTTGATGCTGAAGGCACCAATTTAGCCGGTCAATTTTATTTTGCCTAGATAACGGTGGGACCCATAATTCTCTCCTACTGTACAACCCTCGAGCGCGCGAAGTCTTTTTCTTAGGGTTTCAACTAAAACGTTCATACCTGTAATTTCCAGAAGTTGTCGTTGTATCCCTGAAATTTCTTCAAGCAATTTGGCACATAAAGCGGTCCTGTTGTTCAGTTGTGACTCTTTGATGACTTTGTCTGGGCCTGTTCTTGAGAGTTTCTAATTCCAAGTACCTTTCATATGTTTTCGATACATCACCCTAGGTATCGCCTACTACCACTGCTATATCTCATTGGGACATTTCTTGTGCAGTGAGAGCAAAATTCTTCCCCTCTGCATATCTATTAGTCCAACATAAGACATTTTGTTTTTTTTGGACCGAAATAAAATTACTGGAGGATCGTAATTTTATTTCTGAATACAAAATTTACAAGATAATAAATCGCAGCAGTCGTTTCTTCTTTATTATCATGTTTGTTTTGAAAAAAGCCTTCTCCAAATACCAAATACCAAATTTTTTCTTTACAAAAAGTTTATTCAGAAATATACAGTGATTCAATATAAATTTGGTTGTGTGTATAGCTATGGAGGCATGTTCGAAAATAATCTGAGAAAGACACCTTCATATGCAATTAGTTGACGTAATATTTAGATAAAAGTTGTCTTTCTGACAGATGGCGTTTATATAAAAATGTACTAACATGCCGTTAAAGGCATGTGACGCAAACATGTAAAAAATCATGACATGCCATATACGCCATGTGTCGCACAGTAGAACTTTAGGCAACATCTTTTCAAACATGTTAAACAAATTAACCCAAATCCCCCTAAACGATAGGACAATGATACCAGAAACATTTCAAATCTATATCTGAGGCCCCTTCTCATTAAATGAGCTTACCTTTGCACTTTAAAAAAACTCTTCTCCAGGCTTAGTTTCTTTCTCATATGCTATGCTGTATAATCTTCCCACAAAAGCAATTTGTTCTTACTAAAACTGTTTACCAACATACTCAGCAACAATAATCCAATTCCTAATAACTGGAAAAACCTTTTAATCATCTCTAAACTCAAAAAATCTGCTGAACCCAATGAAGCAACCAGTTGGAGACCCATAGCCCTAACCAGCTGCATCTATAAGCTTCTGGAAAAAATGATCAAAAATCGTTTAGATTGGAAAATTCTTCTAAATTAAACCCTCACCAAAATGGCTTTAGGAAAGGAAGAGGTGTGACAGACAATGTAGTTTTTGTGTACTCAAAAATCTCATCTGCCCTCTCTAACAACAAATACCCTATTGTAGTGTTCCTAGACATCAAAGGGGCTTATGATAATATATTCACGTCCGCATTCTACTCTTCTTTACACTCTCTCAACTTATCCAAGGATATATGCGACTTAATTCTATCCCTTCTCAACGATAGAAACATACATACATAAAATCGCCACATATTCCTAGGCCTTGGAGTCTCCTGCAGAGGTTTACCCCAGATATCGTCCTTAAGCCCATTATTGTTTAACATCTCATGCAACGTTATTCAAAACCTTCCTCAAAGCATCCAAATAACTGGCCCAAGATTCCATTCTGGAAACCATCAACATCATCAACACTACCTTATCTAATATTTCTGATCGACTTTCTAATATAGACCTGTCTCTTTCGCCCAGTAAATATTCAGCCGTTCTATTCAAAAAGGAGCAAAAACAAAATCCAAACACATTTATCCGCATCAATGACACTCCCATTATGTGGAAACCTAATCACAGATATCTAGGAACAGTTCTATACGAACACCTTAAATTGAACCTTCACATCGATGAAATAGCAAACAATGCTGCAAAATCAATTAACCTAATGCGTTCTTTATGCGGAAAATTTCTCACATCAAAATTGTAAATTTGAATCTAAAAAAACAATCAAATGGAATGGCCTTTTCTTGGAAAAAGTAAATACTTTATTCAAAATTTATCACATGATATTTACAGATGGCTCAAAAACATCGTCCAATGTGGGGTATGAAGTTTACTCCCCCAATCACTTCTCTATCTGTGACCAACTCCCAAATTTCTTTTTAATTTTCTCTGCCGAAATATATGCAATGTATATAGCCTTTGAAAAAATTGCAGAGCTAAACCTCGCCAATGTCATAATCTTTTCTGATTCACAAAGTGCCATAATGGCTATCACACAAAGATCATTTTCCTCATCATCAGACTCGACCATCCTAAAAATCAGAGAAATGTACTATCAATTATCCAATCGAAACAAAAATATAGGATTTGCATGGATTTCAAGCGACCAAGGCATCACGGGCAACGAGAGAGCAGATGCCTTAGCCAATTTGGGGAGAAGTGTGGCAAAAGCCACATTTCCTCCTACACTACAAGGATGTCATTAACTTAATCAAAGTACAGTTTCGAAGAATGGAGTGACTTATTCAAAAAAATTGGAAAGTGCAAAGAAGTTATACATGCCCAATTCACAAAAAAGCTTAAAAAGTCTCCTTGGTTAAAAGAATACACCGACACATCTAGAAAAGAAATTTGAATTATATCTCGAATAAGAGCAAACCACTACTTAACAAGGTCCTACCTAAATAGACTGAAGATGATTCCCAGTGACTTGTGCGATTGTGGACAAAGTCAAGACTTACAGCATATTTTTTCTTATGTTCAACGAGTCAACACAACAACAACATAGAAGTTCTACATAAATCCTTGAAGATTTCAAAAAATATATATGGTCCCTTCTCAGTGTTCGATCTAGTGTTCAGACTTTTAAACAAGGAAAACATTAAAATCATTTCCGGAATTCTAACAGCACCCAACATCAAACTGTAGTGTTGTCTTTGCTGTAGTGCAAATATCAACTGTGAGATAATAAAAACTGTAATTCAAAACTGAAGCCATGAGAGCCCTACCATAAAGTAGAGTAACATTCCAATCCTACCTCATTGCGAATAATCGTCGAGACCACCACCAGTCAACCCAAAACCATAGGCCGAATAGCTGTGGTAGCTGAGGCCTACAAAAATTGAAAAGAAGAAGCAGAAGAAGTGTTATTCAAATTCGGATTCGTGTAAAATAGAATGAGTGAAAATCTAGATGAGAAAATTTAGAAGTGATTTTAACCCTTAAAAGCTACATTATTTAACCTTAAATTTTGTAAATGTAATCTAGTATAAGTGTATTTTAACCCTCTTAACTTAGAATTAGAAAAACGATTTTGTTTTTTGTCATAGCTTACCTAAAAGTTGTGCGTTACCCATATGTAACGCTAGGACTTTCTGTTACCGTGTTTTAAAAATAAGCCATTATGTGTGAAGATAATATAGAAATGTGTGAATTTTGATAAATAAAGTATTTATGGCTTACAGAATACAATGAGAGCAAACTTTTTATTGTTGCTAGTATGTTTGTTCTAGTATCTAGTAAAACTGAATCATTATCCCGCTTTTATTACTTATTTTATTTTTTCCAGAAAAGGGTTTACCCTACAAGAAGCCTTGGAAATGGTGTATAATGACGACTTGGATGTGGAAGCAATATACACTGAGCCTCCAGATGTTAACGTCCTTACTGACGAGGAGTCTGGAGATGAGGATACAGAGGGAGATTTGAATCACCTTCCACCTCGTCAGTTGCTAGCGGGTGCTGAAATTAGATTCAAAAATAACGCAGGAATTGGTCAATCGGATGAACCATGTCAATCCTCCAGTGAAGATAACAGACCGATATTAGAAAAGGAAAACCATCCTGAAACCATCACTAAAGAGAAAATTCAACACGATTGGCTCAAGGGTGCCTTTCAGAATGTCGAAATGAATTTTGGAGTACCGGATTATTCAAAATTTAGTACTTTTTCGCCAGTTCAAATGTTTGAATTATTTTGGGACGATGACATCTTTGAATACTTACTACTTAAGACAACAAAATATGCCTTATTCAAAAACAATCCAGACCCCAAATTTTCCATCGAAGAACTGAAATGTGGTATAGTAGTACTAATTCTAAGTGGCTACAATGAAAGACCTGGTAAACGCTTTTATTGGGATTCTCAGTCCGATATGGAACACCCATTAGTCAAAAATTGTATGAGAAGAAATCGCTTTTTTGATATCATGAGATTCCTACACTGTGCTGACAATACCCAGCCAAATGTACATGATATAGGATGGAAAATTCGTCCACTAATGGATAAGTTGAAAGCAGCCTTTTTGAAATATTTTGTATCCGAACAAGACATCAATTACGACGAGTCGATGGTGAAATATTATGGAAAACACTCGTGTAAACAGTTTATCTAGGGAAAACCCATCCGGTTTGAGTTCAAGATGTGGTGCTTGAATACCAAAGATGGCTTACTTGATAAATTTTGATCTCTATCAGGGAAAAAATCCGAGGTCAAACGCGACAGATGAACTCTTGTATGGGAAGTCCACAGCTCCTCTAAAAATGATAATGAAGGAAATGCCGGAAAATAAAAATAAAGTACCATATAAAATATATATCGATAATCTATTTACAAGTACGTATTTACTAAAGGATATGAGAGACGAAGGATACTGGTGCACAGGAACAATGCGGGAAAATCGCCTGCCAAAGGGCATACCTCTACCTACAAAAGCAACTCTCCATTCTTGACCGAACCACCGGGATTGTATTTGCGAGATGGGTAGATAACAATATCGTTACTGTCGCATCCACCTGTTGAGTTGAGCCAATTTCACAAGTAAGGAGATACTCGTCAAAAGAAAAGAAAGTCATAACGGTTCCACGACCAAATATGATTGGAAAATATAACGCATCAATGGGTGGAACCGATTTTATGGACGAAAATGTGGGACGATGCCGTATAGGTGTACGTTCCAAAAAATGGTGGTGGCCTCTATTTTCCTGGCTCATTGACGTCTCCATTCAAAATGCCTGGGTCTTATATACAAAATCTGGGAAGTTTATCACTCAACTACAGGTTAGGCGAGAAATAGTAAATACTTATCTTTCAAAATATGGCACTGCTTCCAAAGGAGCTGGTAGGCCATCATCTTCGTTAACCAGTAGCCAAGGCAACCGAGTCAGTCATGCTATACGATATGACAGAATTGATCATCTGCTGGTTTATATACCGGACCAGAAAAGAAGGCGTTGTGTGATGGAACTTTGTAACACAAGTGCAAGAACCATGTGTAGAAAATGTAATATTGGCCTGTGTTTAACGTGTAATTTAGGTTTTCATACAAAATAAAAAAATAGGTAGTAATAAAGCCTAGCGTTACATATATGTAACAGATGTTTTTTTTACTTATAGCTAATAAAAAAATTTAAAATTTGCTTCAGTACTTTTATTAAACCTATTTTAGTACAAAAAGCTCAAAAAAAATAAATAAAACAAAAAAAATAATTCCGGGGTTTGAAGGGTTAATATAAAACCAATTAAGGCGACAATGAAAGCTCAGTGGTACTCAGCAGTCCACAGTTCTTTACTATACAAATCTAGCTGGACAGAAATAATATCGCCATATTTATATCCCAGCTACATTCTAGAACTCGAAATATGTGCAAACTTGTAAATTTTCCTTCTGTTGTTGGCATATTGAATGTATCATAAAAGTATCTGGACAATATGGACAAAAGCTGCTGTCACGACACTGTGGTTAAAATAACATAATAATCTGATAATAATAATAATAATAATTTTTTTGAATAGTGGAGTAATTTACAAATTTAGCTAGACATAAATTGCATTTACGCATGTATTCAGCAGATTCACAACTAATAATCTATAATAAAAATAGTAACTCACCGTTATGTAGGAGATATATTTTGACGTAAGGGTCTGCCAGACCGGTGACGTCCATTTTGGGAAGGTTTCGTGCCTTCAAAATGACCACCGTCAGTCTGCTGGCCGCCGGCTGCCAACAAAGTGACACAAGAATGTCTCCTCTACCTTGGGATCTGATCTAGAATTGATTTTTTTTTAATATCCAATTTCTTTTCTTAATTAAACTGACGTTTAATGTATTTTTGATATGTATGATCGGTTTTAAAAAGTTTTTCCTGACCATCCCAAAGCCAAACTTTAAACATCCGCATAAACAAATTACCTCTTTAATTTTCAACAGTTTTAGAAATTTTCTTATAAACTTTAAGCGAGTAAATTATATTATAACTAACAAAATATGGTTTGGAAAAGTCAGTTAATTGGAATATTTTTATTTATCAATCTATTTTTGTAATTTTTTGGAGATATTTTGTAATTTGTAGTAATTATCACAAATTTTTGTTATTTTTTTTATTAACTTTTTTAATATTTGTTGATTTATATTGTTATATTCTTTTTCATTTTTTTATATCAGTTTCCTAATTTGAATTAATTTTTCGACATTTTTCCTACCTTTAAACTTCTAGCCTGGATTTCTCTGCACACTGCCATCTGTTGAGTCTCAATTTGCGCTATATCAACACTATTCAAAGCGCAAAATACCTCTCCTATTATATCATCCCTGCTGTATCTGTCGAAACTCAGTATCACAAAGTGTAGCGTGATATTTTGCAGCTGGTTGAAACCTGAAAACGAATATTATTTTTTATTTATACATTTTATATCCACTTTGAAAGTGCTAGACACTACATTTTTAATGGCATAACTATAACTAAAACCGCAACTCTGTCTGGAATGGTTTATCACAGACGTGAAGATTTATGACTGGCATAATAAAAACCTTTCGTTTTAAATATTCAACACCCCAGGTCATTGCTTTGTTGTAGTAGGTATCTTGAATACAGAGGGTGATAAATTCAATTTATAATAAAAATTAGATCCACCTTTCTCCAATCTTTTTTTTATTTCACGCGTAACCCTGACAGGGACGCTGCGTATACGTACCTATGCCGTAAAATGTAAAGTCCTCATCGTAAACGGGGTTCCTGGTGTTTCTCAGCACTCTGGTTTTAACTTTATGTTGTTTATCGGGAAGCAACTGAAGCTTAACGTAGGGATCGCTGGATCCCAAACTGCTGTCTTTAGCCGGCAAATCTCTGCATCTCACCACGGATACTATCAGGGCATTTTTATCGGTTTTGTACCTATAGCGAAAAAATGATTTTTTATATTTTATCATATACATATCAAACTTTTATATACAAGGACAATTATGAATGTTTTTAAATTTATCATCATTGTAATTAAACTGTAAACATCAGATGTTTCGTATTTCGTCTCTCATTGGTAAGAATATTGAATAAGAGAATACATAAATTTATACCATGAACACATACTTCGATTTTCTCTTACTATACGGAAAATGGTCGCACTGCGCAGCTTTCTGAGTGTCTTTTAAAAGAAAATAGAAAACATTTTGAACACTTATTACGTGTTGCCTACATCTTGGCGTAATAGTTTTAGTGGTTATGTTATAATATTTACCCAAAGTCAGTCCCCAAAGATAATATTTACGAACCTACACTTTACAAAACCATTAACAAATAATGAATATCTTGAAAACCTTGCTTTACTTGGTGATTTTATGTTAAATCTTTCCATTTGTAAGTAACAGTAACTACTTTAATTATGTTCCTAGTGTTGTATTCTAAATGCTTTTTATTTTCCAGGTCTCCTAGGAATTTCGAGCACTTCACTTGAACAGTGTTTACAAACCATTAATCAAATTGTTTAGAAATTATTTTTAGCTAAACTCTGTCATGTCTGTTCTCAGCATTTTGAGGAAAATGCTAATTGCTCTTGTGTAAAAAGGTATGTGATCAATCATGAAACAATTCTTTGTAGAAGGCAAATGCCAAGAAAATTGAATCATTTACTTCAATAGATAGGAGCAGTATTAAAATCAAACTAAATAATATAAATAAACATGTAATATTGTTTACTTTTTGGAACATTTATATTATAATAATTGTTTTTATTTATTTCAGGTTTACTACCCTCTGGCTCATCTACACACCTGATTAGAGGTAACCCACAGCCTCACTAAGAAAATAGCCCCCTCTGCTAAATAGTTTATCTGGAACAGTTAGAAAATGACCTGTAATATTTAATTGTTTTACTTGGTACAGTAAACTGTGTAACAAATTCGGATAAATGGAAATTTTTGAGAAGCAAAAGTACCACTGATCCAGGTACATTGATTTTGTACGTTAAACATACACAGGAATCATAAAAGTAACAGAAACGTCTTTTAGAGCCACCATATGTCGACATCCTTTGGACCAAGAAAAGCGTAACTAGATCATCGATTGCTATAGAAGCAGAAAGTAGGGAGATATGCAAGAGTTTTGAAAATGTACACTGGTAATCTAAGGTTAATACACAAACTTGTGTAATCTTTGAAAACGAGAATATTGGTGGAGGTGGTGGCAGTAATACCCATAGGGGTATTTTCTTGAATAGAAAATATTCCGCAATTTCTTACTGTGTAACAACTAAAAGAAGACTCATTTGTAGATGAACAATACATCTGTTTTAGTTAAAAATTTAACAACTACATATAACTAATGAAAAAAAAATAACTGTTATACAAATTTAACGTGACTGTCTCAGATAAATTATAAAGATAAAAACACAAACCATCTATCTGTTATATCTTTTAGTTAGAGCTTCTTTAATCTCACATTTTATAGTTTCGTACCATATTTACAGCTGAAAAGATGCAAAATATAATATTAGATTGTTAAGCCTCAAACATTTTTATTACATAATAATAATAATAATGTTTGTTCATGGGCATGGGACTGGCGAAAAATATCATAATATTAAGGTAAAATTATATGCACAGCTTTAGAAATAATTTAAAACCATTTATCTCTATTTCAAGATGCACTCGCAATTATAACTTTACTTCAAAGAAGCTTCGTGTATATTATTTAAAATAAATAAACGTTTCTTCTACATTGGTTGCCTTCATTTAAAATCTCAAAATACCAAGACCTAGACTACCAGTTTAACATTTTGGAAAAATGTTTTGCCTAACCTAGTAGTAATTGCATCATAATGGCCTCGCCCTATGTTGGGCATGTCGAACGTCTCTCTTGCACCGTATAGTAATTAAAGTATGTGACCATGAAGTACACCTGACATTGCAAGTATTCAAAAATCTTAATCATTTCTAACCATTGTTTTTTGTAGAATTGAACCACCTTATATTGACACCATGACTGCCTTATATTGAACTATCTATCTATCTCAATCTATCTTATTCTACGGAATACAATTGAGGGGTCAAAACAAGGTGCTCAGACTCATCGTCAAAGCACCAAGGTAGGTGCTTTAAGGTGAAGGAACGAACAGTTGTATATATAAAAGTGAAAGATGTTATGTCAATAATAAAAATAAATATCTAATACTTAGCAATAGAAGTTGCTCACGAGTTGAGGTTATTCTCTTGTTTTTAGGACTAACACGTAATAGAAAGTTATCAAGAGGTGAGGCAATGCAAGTTTGAAGGAGATATATTTATGGAGTTAGTGTAAGTCACTATAGGGTGGATCGAAAATATGGAAACGTTAGGACGCTAGGAAACAATTCTCACCTCAACTTGAACACCAACTGTCCCAAATACAAAGCGTTCTGTTCCAAATTCTTCTCGTTGACCTCGACCTCTTCTTTGGTGGGAACTAGATTTTTCTCGTTTTCGGTAATATAGGCCACGGCCATTTCCGGTTTGACTATCGGTTCCTGTATTGGTTTCGAATCCAAATGGTGGGGATTGTTAATTACTCCGCTCTCCAAAGGTCCGACCACGCTACCCGTTGGACTGGGGGTATGAGGGCTGGACATCTGAAATAATTTTTATTTTTGGCTTAAGCAAATTGTCATTGAGACAGACGGATTGATTTAGAACAATCCAAGAATATTTCCTATCAAGAAAGAAAATATACACCGTGTCCCACGTAAGGCGGGCATTACAACTTTATGGAGAATAAATTAATTTGTATTTTCGCCATTTTCTGAGTATACATAATCGAATATGCTCTTTTGAATTAAAATAAAATGAACTCTGTGCAACTTCCGGTTATACCGGAAGTGACCACTAACTTCGTTATTTTAAAGGGAATACCCCATATTTGTTTTTAATTTTAGATTCAGCATGAAATTCTGTAAACAACGATACCCCATTTGCCTATTCTAGTTATAGCGGATTTGGCGTTATTCAATTTTTTCTACATTTTTAGTCGCCGGTAGACATTTTCTTAAAGTCGTCTATCTCAGGTACTATATCTATCAGATACTTAAAATTTTAACCAGAGGTAGTAGATGGGATGTACTTCTTGAGAATATTTAGTTATTCATTATTTGTTGTACGGGGTGTTTGCAAATTATTTTTAAAAATGAAATTTTTTAAACATAAAAAACTTTTTATTTTAAATTGAACACCCTATATATTTTTTAAATTTTAGATTCAGCATGAAATTCTGTAAACAATGATACCCCATTCGCCTATTCTAATTATAGCGGATTTGGCGTTATTCATTTTTTTTTAATTTTTAGTCGTCGCGCCGGTAGGCATTTTCTTAAAGTCGACTGTCTCAGGTACTATTTCTGTTGGATACTTGAAATTTTAGCCAGAAGTAGTAGATGGGATGTACTTTTAAAAACATTTACAGTTTTCTGCAACAAAATATGTCGTTTAAAAAGTTTAAATTTTTTTAATGATAAGGTACATACTAACTAAAAACAATTTTTATTAAAAGCACATGGTTTAAAAAAATCATTTTATCAAATGTTCAAAATGCCCCCCGCTAGCTTCTAAACATTTTAACAATCTTTTTTCAACATGATTAGTTGTTGCTTTACGAATCATTTCACCATCTAACTCGTTAAAGGCATTCCGAACTCTTTGCTCTAATTCTTCTTTAGTATTAATTTGGGTAGAGTACACTAAATTTTTAATATGACCCCATAAAAAAAATCAACAGGAGTTAGATCTGGCGATCTTGCAGGCCAAAGCCAAGGACCATTTGGACCTATCCATCGGTCTTCAAAGAGTGCTGTAATTTCTTGATTTACATAGTATGTTGAATGTGCTGGGGTCCAATCCAACTGGTACCAAAAATTATTATTTGGTAGCTGGTTTAAAATGTCGGCAACTAATTCTCTAAGAATTCTAATGTATCTTTCTAAGGTCAGTCTTTCATTATAAATGTAATAAAAAGCTCTTCCAAAACCGATCACTGCAAACACATTAAAACTAAATTCGTACTGAAATTGTGCTTCACGATAAAAATGTGGATTCTCGTTTGCCCAGAAATGACATTGCTTGCGATTGATGATCCCTTTACGTGTAAATTTCGACTCGTCTGACCACAAAATTTTGTTTAAAATCTCGGGATCTTCTTGAATTCGTACCAATAACCATTCGCATAATTCAGTTCGTCTTATTTGATCACCATCTCGCAACTCATGAACTTTTCTTTGTGCATAGGGATGCCATTTATTTAGTGCTAAAATTCGTTGTATTGACCCTCGACTAATATTTAAATTATCTTGAGCCATTCTAATGGAGGCGTGAGGATACGCAGTAAAATACCCTAATACGTTAATTAGATTAACTTCTTCATCTCGGACATAATGTTGACGGTTTCTTCCCGGGTTTTGTTTAAAATTATTCAAAAAGTTAGCTTCGATTCTATCAAATTTCTGTCTGTTCATTGGTGGTAAATGAGGGTATCGTTCATTAAACATGCGGCAGGTTCTACTTTTGATTCGATTACATTCTCCATGAATGTAAAACAAATTAAGAATATCTTGGTTGGTATATTCTTCAATATTTTCCATATTTTCCATATTTTGAACGCAAAAAATACACAACTTAAATACATAGAAATATGACAATTCAGTTTGTTGACAGATTGTTGTTTAGCATATTTCCACGGCATACTAAGATAAAAAATTAAAATGTAAAACTATACTATATTATGTAGGTGTAGGTGCATGCGTAAAATTTAAATTTAAATTTTCTTAAAATTGGCGAGAGATAATTATAGGGAATTAATAGTGCAAATGAAGATCAATGAAGAATAATTTTCTGAACAAAATGAAATAAAAATATACAGGATTTTCCATTTAAAATAAAAAAAATTTCATGTTTAAAATATTTATTTTTTAAAATAATTTCCAAACACACAGTCGAACAAACGATGTACAAGTAAATTTAAAAAAGCAAATGTCTGCCGGCATATAAAAGTTTATAAAAAACTGAATAACGCCAAATACACTATAATTAGAATAGGCGAATGGGGTATCATTGTTTACAGAATTTCATGCTGAATCTAAAATTTAAAAAATATATAGGGTGTTTAATTTAAAATAAAAAAGTTTTTTATGTTTAAAAAATTTCATTTTTAAAAATAATTTGCAAACACCCCGTACAACAAATAATGAATAACTAAATATTCTCAAGAAGTACATCCCATCTACTACCTCTGGTTAAAATTTTAAGTATCTGATAGATATAGTACCTGAGATAGACGACTTTATGAAAATGTCTACCGGCGACTAAAAATGTAGAAAAAATTGAATAACGCCAAATCCGCTATAACTAGAATAGGCAAATGGGGTATCGTTGTTTACAGAATTTCATGCTGAATCTAAAATTTAAAAAAAATATGGGGTATTCCCTTTAAAATAACGAAGTTAGTGGTCACTTCCGGTATAACCGGAAGTTGCACAGAGTTCATTTTATTTTAATTCAAAAGAGCATATTCGATTATGTATACTCAGAAAATGGCGAAAATACAAATTAATTTATTCTCCATAAAGTTGTAATGCCCGCCTTACGTGGGACACGGTGTATATGACAGGGACACACGCTTCTGGTATGGAGAGACATCAGGACGTTTTTTTTTAACAAATATGCAAATAAAAATAGGCTTGATAAGGGGTAAACAAATAAGTATAATACAGAGGAAACAAGAGCAAGATTTCAATCATAGGTTTCTCAATATTTAAGAGGGATATCATGTATCATATAGCGTTTAGCATATATTATACAGAATATAGCATATTTATTTATTTATCCCAAACAGGCTTCAAATTTAATTACATGGAATACTTAATACAAATATACAGTCATATCCAATATATAAGTATTGTTTATTACACTAACATAAGTCAAAAAAAAATTATACAATCATGGGTATATCGATAAATTAATTAAAATAGGCATTAACAATTTTCTTAAATTGTCGTAGGGTCAAAGAAAAATCTAATTCTGTTAAGGAACTTACTTCATTAGCAAGTCTAAGAATAGTTGGCAGAGGAGATCGGGCGGTGGATGACAAAGAATAGAACTCTGATAGTTTGAAAATGTCGAGCACCGTATCGAGGCACATTTAAGCTTATGATACTTAATATATTTGGATCATTAATTTCCGAGTTTATTGTTTTATATAAAAATATCAACGTATTTACATTTCTTTTTAAGCTAAGAGAATTAATTTTAAAGGTGCTCCTCAAATGCATTGTCCTTGTTATATTATAATCGGGCCATATATTATGTTCTTTAAAATACAAATATCTTAAAAATTTGTTTGATATTTTTTCAATTTTACTCCAAAAAGTATACGGCTATGAATGCCAAATAATAGGAGCAAAATCTAAAATAGGTTGCACTAAAATAAAATATATTTATTTGCCTTCTTGCTAGTCTTTTCAAAGTGCTCTGCAAATGATAGAGTTGAATCATACCTCACTCTCATTCTATTTAAGTGTGTTTCCACCATAATATTTTAAAAATATACTGGGTTTATTTTATATGTAAATGTCATTATGTTACATTTTTTAGATTAAAATTAAACCTATTTTTATCACTCCATTCAGTTATTGTCGTCGATATCCCTTTGGAGTCCTATACAATCTCTGACAGTAATTATTTCTTTGAAAATTTTGATATCGTCTGCAAATAGTAAACATTTAGATTCTTTTAGTATAGAAGGCAAATCATTTATAAATAATACGAAGAGTAACGGTCCTATATTGGATCCTTGAGGAACTTACAAAAACTAAAATTAACGAAAAATTGCCTATCTTGACGATAACTTCTTATAATGCCATAATTTATACCAACATATTTTAATTTGCTCAATAGAATTTTAAGAATAAATCTATCAAACGCCTTCGCGAATGCATATGGCATATAGCATATAACTAATAGCATATTTATTTATTTATTAAAAACCCAAACAGGTTTTACAACCTTTTTATAAGGGTAGTAAGTACAATAAATATAATATTAATAAATGTTATTATAAGTAGATAGTAGGTAGTACAAGGTTTCGTTAAATATAATAATTACTTAAACTAATAAAAAAAAAAAAATCCTTTTTATTAAGCTATAAGAAATAATGTGCCCTAAAAAACAAGAAAAGGAAAAAAGAGAAAAAAAACACAAAAACGACATATTTTTTTTTACATACTAAAATCTGCTATATATTCATTAATTATTTTTTTATATACCTTTCAGGTGGTAGTGTCCAATCAATGTCTTTAATATTGTGTATCACATTTGCTAGTTTTAACATGGACTCAAGAGGGGAACAAACTGTCTGCCTTAATTTTCCAAACAAGAGTGGATATCTAGTAAACCTAGAAGGAACTTTAAAGGGAATTTTGTGTAGCAAACTACTTGAAGTGGATATATTATTTATGACTTTATACAAAAAAAGCATCATTGTTAGTATACGTCTGCTTGTTAATGAAATAATATTAAATTCTGCCCTTAATCTAGATGATCTTACATTTGTATAATCTGGCCACACATGATGTTTCCTGAAATACAAGTATCTAAGAAACTTGTTCTGGGTCTTTTCAATTGGCGCTAAATGTATTTGTGGTTGATCTCCCCACACCAAAAATCCAAACTCTAATTTAGGCTTAATTAACACATTATATAGAATTTTAATTGTTTTAATAGAAAAATTGGAAGTCTGTCTATAAATGAATCCCAGTGAACGATTTGCACTATTTACTAATTTATTAATATGTGATCCAAAACGAAATTGATTATCATATATTAAACCCAAATCCTTAACTTTATTCAATTTGTTTCAATTATCCAAACCGATTAGATAATCAAAATTTATGGTTAGTTTTTTACGAGAGATGGACATTATACAACATTTATTCACATTAAAGTTTAATTGGTTCTCAATACTCCACTTATGAATGTTATTAATATCCTTTTGCAACATTACGCAATCTCTAACTGTTTGTATTTTTTTAAACATCTTAAAATCGTCTGCAAATAATAAATAGTCCGAAAAATTAATGTATTCTGGAAGATCATTTATGAATAAAATAAAAAGTAATGGTCCTAAATTAGAACCTTGTGGCACCCCTGAGTTAGCATGAAACTTTCCATTCCCATTATACCTTACTATAAATTGTCTATCCTGAAGATAATTTGTGAAAAGCTCTAATAAATTACCCGACAACCCAAATTGATGTAATTTTGCTAGTAGTATATCATGGTTAACTCTGTCAAAAGCTTTCTGAAAGTCAGTATAAATTATGTCAAGCTGCTGCCTTTCCTCAAAAACTTGACTTACAGATTCACCGAATAATACTAGGTTTGTATTAATAGATCGCCCTGACACAAATCCATGTTGTTGATCGACTATGCTGTTTTTAACATGATTGTAAATTTTAACATACATAATTTGTTCAAAAACCTTAGATGGAGCACACATTAATGAAACACCCCTATAATTCTCAATATCTTTCTTACTGCCTGACTTATAAATTGGAGTGATCTTAGATAGTTTCCATTTGGTTGGAAAATACTTGGTTTTAATAATACAATTAAAAATATGAATTAGTGGCCTTTTCAACCACTCCTGGCAACCTTTTAAAATATATGGTGGAATTCCATCAACACCGGCGGCCTTCTTTGGTTTCAATTTCTTTATAGCAATGTCAAAATCTTTTGCGCTTACTTCAGAGAAACTCAAAACATCATGGTTATAAAAATATATTGATTTATGCATGTCGTATTTCGATTTTTCACTACTATAAACAGATGCAAAATATTCAGCAAACTTTTCGGCTGTTCCACTCGGCAATATCTTATTACCTTGAAAGTAAAATGACTCAACCCCACCCATATTACTATTACTTTTATCAACAAAATTCCAAAAACAGTTAATGTCATTATGTATTATATTATGGCATATAATATATGGCCTATAGCATATCGCATATAGAATATAACAGAACATATAGCATATCGCATATAGCATATGACATAACGCATGCAGCATATAGCATATGACATAAAGCATGTAGCATATAGCATAAAACATAGCATATAGCATGTAACAAATAGAATATAAAATATACAGTGTGTCTACTTAAGTTGGAACCGTATGGAAAACATTTTTATTATTGATTTTAAGAAAAAGTTTTTCTTGATAAAACTGCATGACCCAAAACCTAAAATACAGTCATCACATATCAAATTTTTCAAGCCGTATACGAGGTTTGTAAATAAATAGGAATTTTGCTCAAGAGTAAAGTACGTTTATTTTTAACAAAATATCATATAGAATATAGCATATATCATGTAGTATACAGCATATAGCATATATCATATAGCATATAGCATATATCATATAGCATATAGCATATAGCATATAGCATATAGCATATAGCATATAGCATATAGCATATAGCATATAGCATATAGCATATAGCATATAGCATATATCATATAGCATATAGCATATAGCATATAGCATATAGCATATAGCATATAGCATATAGCATATAGCATATAGCATATAGCATATAGCATATAGCATATAGCATATAGCATATAGCATATAGCATATAGCATATAGCATATGGCATATAGCATATAGCATATAGCATATAGCATATAGCATATAGCATATAGCATATAGCATATAGCATATAGCATATAGCATATAGCATATAGCATATAGCATATAGCATATAGCATATAGCATATATCATATAGCATATATCATGTAGCATATAGCATATTTGAATGGGCCGTTTATTTTAAACACTCAAAGACAATATTAAAATCTCCCGTTGATTCACAAATCTCACAATTTTCTTTTTTCTTTATATTAATTTTATACAAGTGATTAGAATAACTGGCATGACCAAATCTGGTTTTAGTTGAAGACATGTAATGTAGTCTTGCAATTATATTATTATTGAATCAGGTTGAGTTTGGAATATGTCTTTGTATTTTAGTGTTTTGATTAGAATATTATGAATGGTGTTAATTACTTTTTTATTGAACATTTGGCTAGCATATCAACATATTCATTGTGATTCAGTCCAATAGGATCCTTTACCCATATAAAGCATATATTTACATTACTATTAATTAGTTAGAACAATGCCTTTATGATCAAGAAAATATACGAATTTGAATTAAAATTTATAATGTCACGAGCTACCGCCGATTTTAAGACATATAAAGAATTTGAAGCAATTAGAGTTGCTTTAGTGTTAGATGCAGATAGAAATTTTATGGCTTCAAGAATCGCAATTGCTTTTTCAATGTAACTAGAAAAGTTATCATGTAGTTTTTTTCATATTAAAAGTAAGTAGGTACATTCAGTGCCTTGAGTTGACTTGAAAGCATCGGTATATACAACTGTATGTTCAGAAAAACGATTTAGGTTAGAAAAAATTTATTCAGATTCATATACTTTCGACGTGGGTGCGACATTGTGGACATTTTTTAAACCCTCTTTTTACCTCTGACAATATTCTTGGCACGAACATAAAAATTGGAGATTTTAGAATTTCCATTAGCATCCAGAAACACAGTAGAAAAGAGAATCCCCACTGATGAATGGATTTTGGATGACAATGCGATGTATTGTTGACTTTATTTAAAGGTTGTTGGTTTTATCGAAGCAAACAATTAAGGCCCAAAACCATTTAGGGGTTGTTCACATTTCTTATTGTTTACGAAGTAAAAAGCGCAATTTCATTACTAACGAGAGCTAAAGAAGGTCACGGAGACGCGAAGCTATTGAGGTTTTTATACTATTTTATTGTATAATATTAATATTATTCTGTCACTTAATGGGAGGAAAAGTCAATTTATGGAAAATGTTATAAAAAAACTAAAAAAATGTCGATTCTACTGTCATACAAAGTTCAATTTCCCAATTTTTAAATATTTTGCTTCATTGCCTTGAATAATACAACTATAAAACAGTTTTTGTACTCACCCCAGGAGGTGTTTTAGAAGGACCGGTTGGACTGGGACTCTTCTTCAAATAATGCGTCCCACCTGCAGCTCCAGCAGGACTCTTAACAGCTGTAGGCCTCCTGTGGGTATGAAAAGCAAGCGGTTGTTCGGATCCATGGCGTTTGTGCGAATTCTGGACTTTTCGCCTGTAGCAGTACCACGTAACTGCCAACATTATCAAACCGAAGACCAGTCCTCCAAGACATAGTCCAATTATACTGGTGTAAGCTGGAAAAACTTTCATTATCAAATCGTGTCGTTCACAGCTTTTCTAGATAATTAAACACTAAGTAAACTGTCACTTATCAACGGTGGTCTTTAGAAATGTTATGTGGATTTATGCAATTTAATTTTTTTTTTAATCTCTCCAAAATCGCAAAAATGTCACTTGTTTAATTTTATTTAATAATTATTTATGTAGTACTTTTTTCTGAATAGTACTAATTCAGTTTACATATTTATGAGTTCACCCAAGTGATTTTTAAACCAATTTAATACTTTTAGAAATACTTACTTATCATTAAATGTTTATGACAAATATATCATATATTTCACAGTACAGTGAGATTTGCATTCAAATTAGTCCCGATGATTGAGTTAACACACTATTGTATTACCCAACCAGAGGAAAAATATTTTTATTAGTATGGTTGTGATATCTTTACATAAGTAATTTCCTACTCAAATAATCTTTGTTATTTTAGTTTCTTTTGAATTAAATAAAGGATAAGATTGTTGTATTAAATAATACTTTTTGATATAAAAATTCCGTAATACATTTTCAAAATAGAATTTATAGAAGAGTCGCTTAAAAGTTCTGTTTTTGAACACTACAATGATATTATTAAAGAGAAGTTATGTACCGATATTGTAATAGTATTCTTTAATTGCAAAACTGTTCATAGAACTATTCTATATTTATTTATTTATTTATTTATTTATTTATTTATTTATTTACGGGTCAAAACCCATTTTACTGATTAGTATACAGTATGGTTCAAATGAAAGGAATAAATTCATTATAATGGAAGTAGTTGGTTTTTCGAAAAAATGTTCGGACAGGTCAATTTTGTTTACTTAAAGCGCAATTTTTTAAATAAAATTCAATTTTCCCCCACTTCCCATTTTTGGGCAGTGACGTCATTGACAATTTTTTTAAATAGCAACCCCAATTTTTTTTTCTTGATTTTGATAGATCTTGTAATTTCCTACTCGGAAACATAATATTTGAAATATCTGACATAACAATTTTTTTTGAAAAAAAGTCATTTAAAGATCAGATACATAAATTTTATGTTATTTTGAAACACAATAAATTAATAAAAGATAATTATTTGTAATTAAGTGCTTAATCTAAAAAAATAATAATAATAAAATAAAAAGAATTTAATGACAATTTCACAAATTCTTTTTATTATTATTATTTTTATTATTATTTTGTTAGATTAAGCATTTAATTACAAATAATTATCTTTTATTCATTTATTGTGTTCTCAAAATAAAATAAAATTTATGTGTCTGATCTTTAAATGTCTTCTATTCAAAAAAAATTGTTATGTAACATATTTCAAATATTATGTTTTCGAGTAGGAAATTGCAAGATCTGTCAAAATCAAGAAAAAAAAATTGAGGTTACCATTTAAAAAAATTGTCAATGACGTCACTGCCCAAAAATGGGAAGTGGGGGAAAATTGAATTTGACTTAAAAAATTGCGCTTTGAGTAAACAAAATTGACCTGTCCGAGCATTTTTTCGAAAAACCAGCTACTTCCATTATAATGAATTTATTCCTTTCATTTGAACCATACTGTATAAAGATCCATAACAAATGTAAAATGACTAACATTACAGCGAGTTATAAACTAATAAGTAAAAAAAGAAAATAAAATAGAGAATATAAAAAATATATAATAAAATATAAACAAAATAAAAAAAAATTTAAAATATTTAATAATTACATACTAACATGTAAGCTTTTTATAACTCTTTTAAAAGCAGGAACATAATTATGGACAATATCAGTATTCTGATGTTTGTTAGCTAATCGTAAAATTCTGAATATTGTCTCATTTTGCCCGGTTAGTGTGATGAAAAGGTATACGAAATAGTTCAACATTCCGCGTACGTCTTTCATTTCCATTGAAGAAAAGTATCAAGTTCAATAGTTCGGAATTGGATAAAATACCATTTAAAATTTTATATAAAAAACAAAATCTGATGTGTCCAACACATGACTTTCCTATCTAGTTATTATAGGCTTTTTCCGGTTATTTTGTACAACCTATTACAGCACCTCTATAAATGTTTAAAGGATAAACTAAATATATACATTTTCCATATACATCTAACTCGAAACATGTTTCTCTAGATATTCATTGAAAACGAAAATACTGAAAAATTTCAATTTAGCACTTTTCCTACAATTTTTCCATTACGGTCCATTTTAGAAAAATTAAGTATAAACAAAAATTATAGAGATCGATATCGCAAACAACTTTTAGTTCAACAATTTTCATAAAAATCAGAATTTTGCACATTTTTTCAAATTTCTCGAATACGGACCATTTCAGGAAATTTTGACATTAAACAAAAATTATAGATAATAATATTAGAAGTAACTTTTATTTAAACAATTTTCTTCTCCAAACATAAATAACAGATATATTCCATAAAATATAAAAACGGCCTCCCATAAAGTACCCCCCAGATGTTCCGACTTTGTCCAAAATCTAATCATTTCACGTCAGGCCGAAATAAGACTTAAGTTTAAAATTTAATGTTTTTTTCTTTATCCGTTTTTGAGTTTTCTTCAAAATTCGAAATTTACACATTTTTTCAAATATCTCGAATACGGTCCATTTTAGAGAAATTGTGTATGGGACAAAAATTATAGAGAATTAAATTACAAACAACTTTTATTTAAAAAATTTTTATAAAAAAATATTTTTTTTACATTTTGTAAAATTTCTCGAATACGAACCATTTTAGGAAAATTTTGTATAGAACAAACATTATAGATAATAATATTAGGAGTAACTTTTATTTGAAGAATTTTCTTCTCAAAATGTAAATAACAAATATATTCCATAAAATATAAAAATGACCACCTATAAAGTACCCCTCCAGATGTTCCGACTCTACCCAAAATCTAATCAGTTCATTGGACACTGGAATAAAGCTTAAGTTTAAATTTTGGTGTTTTTCTGTGTATCGGTTCATGAGTTAAGGTGGACACACACACGCACACGCACACGCACACGCACACGCACACGCACACGCACACGCACACGCACACGCACACGCACACGCACACGCACACGCACACGCACACGCACACGCACACGCACACGCACACGCACACGCACACACACACACACACACACACACACACACACACACACACACACACACACACACATACACACACACACACACACACACACACACACACACACACAGACATCATCGCGAAAATAGTCAAAACGGATTCAGGGGACCTCAAAACGTAAAAATCCGTCGAAAACTCGAGGTCTAAAAAAATCATAATTCCTATACTTTCCTTATATCTGTATACAAATAGGAAAGTAATAAGTCGAATTCTATTCTCCTGTGCTCCAATGTTTGCATGCTTAATTGGAGAAGAATGTTTTCATAATTAATATCTATTCCGTTTATACCCATTTTGAAAGCACAAATCCACAAAAATGTTCGTTGTAATTTCTCAATGTGATTAATGTAAATAACATAACATATGTCACTAAAGTTTTCGGAAAAAATTGAATGCACAATACTGTGGTTTAAGAAAGTTTTATTTAAACTATTTATCACTACAATACTTAATATAATGTAAGCTTTAAAACTTATAATTAATACAGAGATAGTGGCCCGTGTTCTTCTATGCGGCGCAGTTTCGTTCTCATAAGCGCTTGACAAGCTTCCAAGTCTACTTCGCGTACCTTCTGATAGATTTTTCTCCTCAATTGATCCTGATTTTGGGCTTCCCATCCATTGTCGTATATCTTTCTTGTAAGTAATGCCCAAAAAGTTTCGATCGGTCTAGCCTGAGGTACGTTAGGAGGGTCATCTTCACGGGGCACAAATGGTATGTGGTTTGCCTCTAACCACTGTCTTGTTGCGTGGGCATAGTGTCATGAAGCTAGGTCAGGCCAAAACATTATTTCGTCGTTAGCATGATATAAATTAATAAAATCCAGTAATTTTGGAAGACAATTTTGTGTATAAACATTAGCATCAACCGCCTGATATTTAACACGACCCACATACGGTCTAGAAATGCCTGCTTCTGAAATTGCACACCACACCGTGATTTTATCCTCAAACTTTACCTTACCTTTAAATTTCACATTATTAACAATTATTGTTTATTACTAAGGAAACGCTTCTCGTATTTACTAAAATAAATAAATAAATAAATAAATTAAGAATATCAAAGGTGATTTAAAAACCACTTGACGTATTAAATTTTTTATAATTTCTTAGTAAAAAAAGCTTATTAAAAAATTATCTTCTAACATTATCTAATATTTCTAGGATTATTGCGACACACGAGGATTATCAAGAATGTAATTTTTGTAAAAACAAAAAAAAAATAAAACTGTTTGCTTGGACGTAAATATAATCAAAATATGTTTCAAATGAGGTATTAGAAAATTTAAAGATAGTAACGCTCTCTATTTTACATCTCAAGTAAAGTGCATCTCATTATAACAAAAATATCATAATGTTTCTCTAATTTCACATCGTTTTTGTTTTATGTCTCTATCTTCTTGCATTTTGAAAACATACTAAGTTAACGCCTAATCTGGACCACTTAATACTTCAAATTTCAATTGTAAAACGACTGTAACAGACAGACAGACGGACAGAGAGAAATAGGGGAATTATGCCTATGATGGCCCCCTTCCTATGATGGCCCATACGTTGTATTTTTAAATCTCCCGCGATTCTCACTCAGTCGGTAATTTTACCACATCAAATAAATCCGTTGTAAGCTACATACGCAGTCAGTGTTGTTCCTGGTTGTACAATTGTACAAAAAGTTGTACAATCAGTTATGCGGTTGTACTGTTGTACGCACTTTTGAAAAAAGACAGAAATGTTGTACAATTTGAAATTGCTAAATATTTATGTAAAATCTGGTATATAAAAGGTTTTCTTCGCTCAAAAAGTCTACGATTTGTTAAATAGCATGCATTAAAATTAATAAAAAAAAAAGTTTAAATTTGGCGCTATTCGCGACCAATCAGTACACCGTTTTACATCAAAAATATATTTTAAATTGGAAAAAAGAATTTTATGCATGGGAAAGTAGTAGGCCATAGTCTGTCAATAAAAAAGAAGAAGATTAATTAGTGGTTGTACAATCGAAAGTAAAAGTGCACAATTTTGACACTGAAAGTTGTACAATTCAAAAATCCCTAGGAACAACACTGTACGCAGTATGAAGTCAGCGTCGGCCATAAGAAGGTGTCGGTGTGCGAAAATAAAAAAGGTAGGTCCTGATCTAATAATTTCGTTGCAAATATTAGTAAATGTTTATCTTAAAACAAGCAATTTGGAATTGGATTTTACATCAAATGTTTGTGTTTATATTGTGTTACTGTTTTTGAATCGAAATTCAGGTTAGAGTAAACAAAACAAGTTATATGAAATTTAATAAACTGGTATGCACTTTTGCCTATGATGGCCCCATGTATTCTTTCATTTGATGGACTAGGGGGCCATCATAGGAATAACATATTATGCAATTTATATGTAAGACAGTAGGTAATGCATACTTTTTTATTGTTTTAAGATATGGCTACTAAAAGACAGCAATGGGATGAGGCTAACATGGAACAAGCTATTAAGAATGTACAGGCAAAAAAAATGGGGTATAAGTTAGCTGCTAAAACTTTTAATGTCCCCAAAACCACGCTGAGGAGAAGATTGACCATGAACAAAGGTGCTCTTAAGCAGGGGCTTGGAGGAAAACGAGCCACTTTTTCTAGGGATATTGAAAACGAAATTGTTGATCACATCATCGACATGGAATCACGTTTTTTCGGTCTAACCAGCACAGATTTGCGTAGGTTGGTCTTCGAAGTAGCTGAAAAAAATAATATTAGACACAATTTTAACAAAGAAAGCAAAATGGCTGGTTGGAAATGGGTCTGATATTTTTTAAGACGAAATCCCCGCATATCTTTAAGAAATCCTGAAAGTACTTCGTTAGCAAGCCTAACATTCGGACATATTTTAAGTCATTAGCGTCGATTTTGGACAAAAACGAATTTTTTCCTGAGAACATATACAATATGGACGAGTCTGGTTTGACAACTGTTCAAAGGAAGTCGCAAAAAATATATGCTTGTAAAGGTCGCAAACAAGTTGGTGCCCTTAGCAGCGCAGAACGTGGTCAACACGTTACTGTCGTATGTTCAATGAACGCCATTGGTTCTTACGTACCTCCTGTTATAATTTTTCCCCGTCAAAGAATGAAAGATGAGCTAATGAATGGTGCTCCACCGGGATGAATTTCGTTTGTACAGGAGAAAGGCTGGATGAGCAGCGAACTTTTTTGCAAATGGTTAAAACATTTTGTTAGATATTCGAAAGCGTCTCTGGAAAATAAGGTTCTGTTATTATTAGACGGTCATAGTAGCCATAAAAGCCTTGAAGCCTTGCAGTATGCAAAACAAAACTGAATTGTAATATTTTGTTTTCCTGCCCACTGTTCGCATTATGTCCAGCCCCTGGACGTAGGATTTTTTCGACCCTTGCAAACTTATTACGGACAAGAAATTCAACTCTGGTTGCGGCCGAATCCTGGTTAAATTGTAACCCAGTTCCAAATAGCAAGTTTATTTAGTCGTGCCTATCTAAAATGTGCCATACCTACAAACGCTATTAATTCCTTTAGGAAAACAGGTATACATCCGTTTAACCCGGACGTTTTTGAAGATTGGCAGTTTTCACCATCTTTAACAACTGATAAACCTCAACTAACTCAAGAAGATGTCCTTAAAACTAAAGAAAACGATTCATTGTCCGAAAATGCTATGCCAGGATCTTTCAATCAAGGTAATAAGGACTCTCCAACTAAACAACAAGAAAATAGGGTTCAACTGGAAAGGTTTGTTTCTTTGCCAGTAACTTGCACTACACAAACTATGACTAAATCACTAGTTCTCAACGTATTATTCGAATCAGCTCTTAATATATCGATCAAAGATATTTTTCCTCCGCCTTCAGCCGCTGAAGTTCGGTCAATTCAACGAAAAGGTAGAAAACGCGGAAAACAGGAATGTTGAATTCTAATGAGCTTAAAGAAATAGTTCTTCAAAAGGCAGTCAAGTTACGAAAAATTAATGCGAGAACAGCGAAGCGACAAGTTTTTTTAAATAATAAAGATTCTGTAAGTGACAGTGATGAAGAAAATCAAGGGATCCTTGAAAAATATCTGGACCAAGACAGCTCGGACGACGTTGCATGTCTTTATTGCAATGAACTTTATTCACAATCAAAATTAAGGGAAAAGTGGATTCAGTGTCAGGTCTCTTGGTGCCACAATGATTGTGCGGGAGTTAGCCCTAGATGCAAGTTGTTCGTTTGTGAACTATGTGAATAAATGATTAGTAATAGGTATTTTTCTGCTTGTGTGTTGTGATTTTTATATTTTATTTTTTTTTAAGAATAATAAATAATTTATTTTACTTTAAACTTTATTTTGCGGTTTGTTTTGAGGAATGTGATCTTTATGGTATAAAATATAACAAACAAATGTCCTCTCATTATTTTTTATACCTACATATTCTAAGTGGTCCAACATAGGAAGACTCCGGGGTCCATCAATGGAATATATATTCCTATGTTGGACCACTTTAAATGTTTTAAAAAAAATACTGTCAAAAAGTAATTTATAACTTTAATCTAGAATACAATGCAGGTCTTGAAAGCCTTTATCAAGACCCGTAGAAAGAGCTGAACTGGCTAAAAAAATATTAATAAATATAAAAACTATAAGGCATTATTCTTAAGGGGGCCATCATCGGCATACTTCCCCTAAGTGTTTCTTATTGCAAAATTTGGGTACTAATGCGCAAATTACTTGAAAAATTCTTTGTTTTTGTCTTACAAATTTTACCGTTTTACATGTTTCGTCTTTTTCAAATTTAAATTTTATATTGTTTTATCACAAGAGAAATGAGACGAGACAAGACGGGAGAAAGGCTCTCTCGAGTGAGAGAAGCGCCTTCTCGTCAAGACGAGAGAATAATTTTCTCTCCCCCTACGAGACGAGACGAGAGAGACCACTCTCTCGTCTCGTCTTGTCTCGCGGCATCACTACTCCTCATCAGATTTCCTCACGGCTCTCCTATTTATTCTATACGGCTTCCCAGGGAACACTTTGGGAACCACTGGTTTAGACTACTTTTTCTGGTGTATCTGAAAAGCTTAGTGTACGCAGTGCCAATTCAAACCGAAGAAGAGTTATTAAATTGTATAATAGTATGCTGTCAAACCATAAGAAACTTCCCAGGAATCTTTGAAAATGTGCGTCAGTCTATACGAAGAAGAGCATTCAATATCATGCCTACGCGGACGTCACTGATAGAAATAGAAAATTAATTTTTACCCCAAAAAAGAGTTTCCACGCATGGTGGGTGCCTACCAAATTTCAACAAAATATCAAAAGAATTTTCAATTAACTTAAAAAAAAAAAACATTTTCTCGGTTTTTAATTTTTTACGCGAAAACGGTGCGTCGTACGAAAGTAAGTCTATGGAAAGAGCATTTCAAAAATAATTTTGATTTTTAGAAAAAGCAGAGACGTATCATTATGTTTCTTCAAAAATATTCAATTCAAACTCCGTACGAACGTTACTGGTAAAAATTTAAAAAATCTTTTACGTCAACAAATGCTTCTTAATGATTAAAAGGGGTGTATAGAATTTCATAAAATTTTCTGAAGTGAAAACATTTTTTTTTAAACTGTAACACGCTGTAGCTCAAAAATTAAGAGGTTTACGATTTATGTTGATATTAACTGTTCTGCTTAAAAGATTCGCACCCTTCAGTATCAGCACTCAATTAATAAACATCCTGTATACTTTGGATCACGTTCTTTTAGTACACCAGCGCCATTCCGGTCACTTTCTGGAACGTTATTTACAGTTTAGAGCTTTTTGATGGACTCTTTTTGAGATAAATAACCATATGAGATAATCCTCCTTTCGTCTACACTCCATTGTCAATTGTCTAGCTCTTAAATGTTTGAAGTTAGCTGTTACTCTGTCATTTTCTGTAATTATTGCACCAACGTTTGGAATTAATAAATTTATTTCAACATTTTTGAAATGGCAATTTTACTATAATTCTCTTTTAAAACTTTCAATGGTTTATTGAATAATTGCCTATGTTTTCGTAAAAATATATTATGCACATGCACATATTTTAAATTGAGATATTTTTATTTAAAAATCTGTCCTATACGTATAAGTAGGTACTACTCTAATAATAATATTGGTAGTCTAATTTATCTAAACCTATTAACACATCAATCATTATTGATTTTATATTTTTATTACATTTTATTCATTTCTTTATTTTGGAAAATATCAACCATAACATATAAATTTATAGAATTAAAAACCGCATTTTCTTGATCACAAACGTTTTTAATTATTATCTACCAGCACTAAAATATAAATTGGTTTATGATTTAGAATCTGATAAAAAAAAACACCTTGTTAATACCTTTTTAATCTACAAGGTGTTAGTATTGAAAATATTTGGGAAATTCTTTGGTATAAGACGCAGTTTAAAAACTCCTTTCACAAACATTATCTGTCTACTTCTTCAATTATTGACTATATAATATTAAACAACCCTAAAATGACTTACCTCCCTGTACGGGCTTGATTTTGGGGCCCTCCTCGGCCATACTCGATTTTACACCAATGCACAATGAAAATTATTCGAACTACACGCCGAGATCGAGGAAAAGTCGCGATTTTACTCAAATTTGCCGACGAATTTTCTTTCAGACAGAAGTTTCCTCTGACTCACACACGTAGGGGGTGATCAATACGAGGATTTCGGCTTGCGCACGGCCAAATGTCAGACGGTTAGGGGTTGTGTATGATTATGAGGAGGCAGTGTTGTCAGGTGCTCGAAATTTTTTACAATTAGTTGATTTTAGTTGTTAAAACAGGTATGCTGCCGTCCTAGCAAGAAAGGTCCTATCTGAACATTTGTTGTTTGAAAATAATCGAGTTTCTAACTATTTTTTCTACGCCTATGTCAGTAAACGTTAAAAATCGCACTATCAACATTCCTTGTTAATAACATTTAACAATAACATGCACGTAATGAGATATCATAACATAAAGGTGCGTTTTGATAAGAAAACTTAAATTTCTTGGTTAAATCAAATTGCAATCAAATTTTTGTCTACGTACAACTTTATTTAGTCTATTACATAAATTTAGTCATTTAAAAAATATAAAAACTTTTAGCATTAGCGAGATACATTTTAGATTAAAAGAGTGATGCCCCTAAATGTCGGCAACATATTATACAATATTTAAAAAAATATGTCGCGTTTTCTTAGCATGCTATGGAAATATAAACGTCATGACATTTATATTGTCAATTTTTGTAACAAAATATGATTGTATCCGAACATTTTCTCAATTTTACCTACGAATATGTTTGTTAGCAGTGAAAGTGATGAAATTATAAGCACTCCATCGGAGATTTTAGAAAAAGCTCAAGCTGCCACACATAATTTGTTACCGCTAAAATCCAAAGAAAGGTATGAAATTACCTATCGAAAATTTATGGATTGGCGTCACAAGCATAACGTTAAATCCTTTTTTGAGAATGTTTTAAGTGAGCGTAGAAAAAGTATAGTACGTTACACGAGTTGTAAGCCCATTACGCACTCGCGAAATTTACGCACTCCCCGCTGCGCGGCTTCGTGCGTAAACTTTTTCACTTCGTGCGTAATGGGTTACTTACAACTCTTGTTGCGTAATATACTGTTTCGCAGACATATTATATTATATTATCTTCTAAACCTCTTTTGTATAACTCTTTTACGTTTTAGTACCTTTACCATGCAAATAGGACATTCCGTTTTGGTATCAAGAAAGACAAAATGTAGTCAAATACAGGGTGTCCGCCGGGAAGGTATACTACTTTGTTTGTTTATAACTTTTGATTAAATGAAAGAGAATGGATCTTATATTGATAAATGTTTTATTTAATGTCGGCAATTATGTATGGAATACAACATCAAATAAATGTCCGCCTCTTTTAGCCTCACAAATGCGAGACCTTTTGAACACATTTTTCATTACATTCTCACACATTTCACACGGTATTTCATTAGTTTCATCACGAATATTTTGTTTGAGTTGCTCAAGCGTTTCTGGTTTGTTTGCATAAACCTTGCTTTTCACACAAAAAGAAGTCCGGAGCAGTCAAATCAGGCGACCGTGGAGGTCAATCAACATCACTATTTCTTCAAATAACTTGTTGTGGAAAGAGGTCTCGCAGTAATTCCATTGTAATCCTGGCTGTATGCGATGTGGCACCGTCTTGTTGATACCACATGTTAATCAAGCCCAAAGCATACAGTTGTAGCGTTAAAAAGTTTTCAATAATATCACAATATCGCTCCCCATTCACAGTTATAGTTCTTCCATTATCAATTGCAGAACATAAAAACTCGTTCGGAACCTTTACCGACAATTTTGTTTGATCTGCCATAGGCGTAGATACCTACTTCATTTCATAAATTTATTTTATAAATACTTTTAATATATATCATATGCAAGAAAGTATTCGTTAAAAGGAAATCGAATCATTATAAATTGGACGTTATTATACGCCTTGATTTAGACAGATGCACTTAATTGTAGTCTTACTTGGACTTAAAAAAAAATCATTATAGCTCGTTAACTTGCTACAACTGAATATTAAATTATAAAACGTAAAAAAGCGAGTAAAGTGTACCTGCCTGTAAGGGCGTTTGGTTTAAACAGGGTACCAGACGTGAACTGAGCCCTTTTTGTACCCCATTCGTTTTTTTTTCTGGACAACGAAATTTCAAAGCAAAAACCATAAAGGAAAATAAATTCTTTGCAAATAAAACAAAAGAAAAAAAAATTCAATTCTAAAGTAGGTATCTTTATAAATACCTAATCATGGCAGTGTGAATCCTCTGAACTAGAGTCATCATTTGGTTGAATTATGATGGGTTGTAAAGAGGGTAATACTACATACTCATCTTCTTCTTTAATAACATGTTCGACACAGTTTTTCCAAAGCTCTTGGCGGTCTGCTGCTAGAACTTTCTTTACGAGTTTTACAACCTCTTTACTCAGTTCTGGAGACTGATTACATTTTCGTAATTCTATAGGGTTAAATATGCAATAGTAAGGAGGTAGTCTGGGAAGAGGATGACCCTGTTCTTTGCACAGCTTGTCAATATAATAAATTTTTTCCAACTTCATGCCTTTAATAACAGTAAGCAATTCTTTGTTTGTTGGGCCTTTTTTACGATCACTGGCAGGAATAGGAATATTTTTTTCAGACATAAACGCTAAAATTTGAGCTTTGTTACTGCTACTATTTGGTATTTTAAGTAGTTGCCGCGAATGGTAAGATGCGTTGTCCATAACGATTACTGACTGTGGTGGAATGTTAGGTAAAAGCTGGTCATTAAACCATTTTTCAAATAATTCTGCTGTCATATCTTCATGATAATCAGCTGCACAGTTTTTAATTTGTTTAGCAGATAATCATAAAGCATTAGGCACGAAACCGTCTTTGTTTCCAGCGTGTACTATTATAATACGTTTCCCTTTAGAACATGGCCCATTCAAACAGCAATTTTTACTACTGTCCACCCAACCGAAATTTACTACATCGTGACTGTCAAACCATGTTTCATCTAGATAATTTAGGTGTCTATTAGAACTTCTGTACTCTTTTATCTGACGCAAATAATCTTGTCGCCATTGAACTATCCTTGACGATTCGGTGATTGCCATACGTTTATTCAATTTTTTGTGTTTAAAACCACATGCTGACAAAACTTGACGCAATGTTTCCAAACTGGTATAAGTATATCCTGGAAAATCTGCTACCTTTTGCTGTATTACTTCCAATGTTGGAACCCTGTTCTCCTTATATAAACTATAAATTGTCCTTCGTATAAAATCTTGGGTAGCTCTGTCAACTGATTTCAGTTTTTCTTTACATGTTTTTCGGTTTTGTGAATGATCCACAGCAACCCCTTTTGTGATTACCCGATAAATGAAAAATTTATTTACTTTAGTTAATTCAGCAATTCTTATTATGATCGCATTATCAGACTGCTGAATATTTTCCTTTTTTAAACATTCGAATATATTTAAAATAACTTGTTGTGTTTTGTATATCTAAATCCTTATTGTTAAAGTCATACCTACTTGTCTTTAATCTCACTACACTGTGCAATTTCATTTTCTTCATTCGCCCACGGTCTAAAGAACGCCATATTTATATTTATTAAAAGAAATTTAAATTAAACCAACCACACATACAAAACACACCGCACGACAGTACTCCACTGATATCGCAGACTGTCTTTCAGGAATATTTTCGAACACTCCTGCCCTCCGTAAACCTTCGGCCAATACAGTGCATTTAAGTTTACGATTCGATGTTTTCATTGGTAAATAACGGAGATGATGGATTTTGACACATATATATCAAGTACACTTGGACTGACCGTTCGTTTAATATTTACCGCATTGTATAAGGGGAGTAAACATTATTTTTCGTTTCTAAATTTGGCATGAGTGCCGTGCGTATATATTAAATATTGATGATTCTCCACATAACTGTGTTCTGCAATTGATAATGGAAGGACTATACCGTTACACCGTTTTCATTTTCAAAGAAGTAAGGTCCAATGATTCCTCCTAACGAAATTGCATACCAGACTGTCACTTTTAATGGATGCGAAGGTGACTGATGAATAATTTGAGGGTTTTTCATTGCCCAGAATCGACTATTTTGTTTATTCATATATCCATTCAAATGAAAATGTGCCTCGTCATTCATTATGATTTGCCTATTTTGTTAGGACGGCAGTATGATAGGCAACCTTTTTTGTAGTAATAGTAATAATATTTATCAAAAATTTAATAAATTTTGTTATTTATCTTTGGAAACATGTCTCACCTAAAAGCCTTGCTATATTTCACAAAAAAAAAATTGATATTATTGGAAATAGTTTTGGAGTAAAAATGTTTTCATGCTACTTTAATTTCTTTTTTTTTTCTTGGCCTAGAATGATAAGTATTTCCATTGAAAATCTGATTTTCAATGTTTATTTTCTTATTTTTTGTTCCGTTTCTATAGCAAAGTCAAAAAATATCTCGGAGGGTTCTGCACAATTTCTGACACCACTCTAACAAATAGTTTAAGAACTATAATCAACTGCACGTAATAAACTGTTTTTGATTTGTTTTTATTTGTTCTCGTGCGGGATTCTGACATGACAACACTGGAACTGTATAAAAGTTCACGTTTCATATCGCAGCAATTATCGCATGAAGTATGTATGAACTAAATGTCTATAATTTTCTATGCAGAAATTGCAGTTTAGAATTAATTATGTTTCAACATTTACACGGCACGACATTTCTGGCCATATTAAATGAAATTAATTTTTTTATCAAATATATTAATGATAAAAACATGTGTCTACTTACTTTTTTAATGCTGTAGTGAATTGTAAAATTATTTAAATACATCGAAAACATTCTGAGCCCACTATTTTCAAAATTATTTTCAATACAACAATACACTCCCCACTCGACCATTCACTGTTGGGTTCTAATTAACAGTGCTGTTCCTAAAGTGGCGCTGGGAAACAGTAACAAAGCCTATACAGAACACGAGGCTAATGACCTTAGCAGTCGATGCCGATGACACCAAATTAAAAAAAAAAACAATACAACAATACAGAATTTTTAATCTTATTAATATAAAACCAATAAAATGAAGGTCTTTATTTTTCTGAGAAAACATTCATTTATTAATTAAATCAGATATTTAAAAAAAATTATATTAAACAGCTATTGGTTATTGTTTTTACTCAATACAGGCCAATAGAATAACTACACATTGTTACAAAATTGCCAAATATTTCCATTCTCTTCTTATAATCCGTAGCTAGTTTTAGTGGATAGTTATTGTATTTTTGCTCTAATTGAATTATTAGTCTAATCAACAAGTTCAAAAGCGTGTTTTTGGGACATACTATTACGAAAATTATGTTCAATAGCTCATTCGATTCGGAATCATGTCTAGATTAATGTGTGAAGAAAAATTTTGCAGTGCATAAAAAATTGCAAAAGTTATAAACAATTAAACACCTCAAAAACATGGTGTTTGGTTTTTCGCCTTTAGTTTGTAAACTATAAATATTTTTGGATTTTTCAAAAAAGATTCTTAAAGAGGAGGAAATTTGCTATAAATAAGTTCCGACTCACGGAACTGTACCTCCATTATTTATAATTTTAATTTAACGCTCAAAGTAGCCTTCCGCGCCCCATTTTTAGGTTACGCGCACGGCGTCGAAACCGAGTACGTTACATAAAATAATTTTTTTAAGTTAATAAAATTAAATTCAAAAATTTAAAAAAATTACGGTGTATTCTAAACACTTAGAAGAATTCATTCCCGCTGGAATTTTTCATAAAAATTAATTTTCCAACAAAGTAGGTTATTGTTAATTAACAAATTTTAGAATTTCTTTCATAAATTTTTTTTGCTTCGTGGAGCTTTTTTTATATACATATAAAACAAAATAGCTTCATAAAAGTTTAAAAAATGTTAATACTTTGTTTATAATAATTTTTTAAAGTTTACAAAAACAGAAAAGTCACAGTGGTGCTATAAATTTTTTTTTTTTATTTATTATAATATTACTGTTTTAATGTCGAGAAAAGACATTTATTAATTAAAAAAAAAAATGTTTCCTTCATTTGTTTATAAATTTTAAGGTACTGGAGTAACGTCAATCCACACTGGATTCGTGAAACCCATACTCAAAGACTACAAAAATTAAATGTATGGTTAGGTATAGCAGGTACGAAATGCTACTTAGAAATGTAATTGTACCTACACTGAGAAACTTGTTAGGAGCCAATTTTAATCAGATATGGTTTCAGCAAGATGAAGCTCCAGCTCATTTTGGTGTAAAGGTTCGGGCGTTATTTAGATGAGATATTTCCCGGACGTTGGATTGGTAGACGAGGTAGTATTGAGTGGCCTCCACGTTCACCTAATTTAAATCCTAAATATTATTTTTATTGGGGATACTTGGAAAATTCAGTTTACAGAACTAAACCAGCAAGTCTTGCAGAGCTAAGGCAACGAATTATCGATGAATCTCGATTAATTTCTAGACAATCATGGAAAAATGTGGTAGACGTATTCTACCATTGATTAGGGTACTGTCAACTCACAAATGGAGCACATTTTGAACACTTGATAAAGTAACCATTATGTTAAAAATGTTGTAATCTTTCAATTGTTACGTTTTAATGTAGTTGAAAATAGTTTGTATTACAAAATTTACTGAGACAATTAGGCGTTGCCAGACTTCTGTTTTATTGATTTAAGACCTTCCAGACTACATGAAATCTTAAGTATTACAAATGGTTGAACTCGTATTGAATAGTAGATTCAAATAATATCTGAATGTATAGGCTGATGTATTTGAAAAACCAAAGTGACTGATAATATAAGAGAAACGGCAAATCTGGCAACATTGCAAATATCAAATCTGGAATTTCCGTATCTCAAAATAGGTGTACCCCAAATTTTGTACAATTAGGACTAGCCATTTACAAGATAATTTGCCGTTTTCAGACTTTTGGGCCATTCTGTATAATTGTTTCAAATCAGGTGAGTACATCGCCAAATCAGGAGTGCCTCAGAATTCAAAACTGTGCCCATTATTATTTATTTTGTTGGTCAATGGTCAATAATATCACTGATGTTAGTTGTATGTTATATTCTGATAATCCAAAATAGTGTTTGACCATTTCTCACAGGTCCGATTGCGAACGTCTTATTCAAAATGTGTCTGAAAGATTATTTATGGATTGGATTCAATAAATAATTAAATAAATAAATGAAGAAATCCTGTCTATTTAAAATATTTTAATGAATCTATATAAATATCAGAATCACTTTAACAGTTATTACATGTTTTTTTATTATTATTAGTATTACTAATAGCAACCGTATAATTAACATTAATGTAAAAATTACTTGAATACAAGCCAATTTTATCAGTAACAATTTCTCTAAAACTCGACGCCTCTGGATTAACGACTATCAAGTTTTTAACCTCAATATCATCAGCCAACTCCATTGATCCAAATGTAATTTTAACATCGGAACTACTGCAATCGGCATTGACGCAGTTAGATGTTTCTTCTTGTGCTGAAACGTTTGCTAAAGAAATCAAATCAGTTGTAAAGGGAACCGAAAATTCATTCTGCAGATATTGCGATTCATCTTCAAGATAATTGTATGTATGTAGTTTATCTTCGTAAGATGAAGACGTGGAAGGGAATGTAATGTTAACTTGAGTTAAAATACAGGCGTTATAATTGATTCTGGATGGTATCGTAAGGTTGCTAAAATCAACGGCACGGTTAAATGTTTCAGAAACGCTTAGCACTATAAATACTTTAACAGCGCCATGTTCAAATGTCAAATTTTTCTGAAACTCATTGTACAATTTTGTGGTATCTGAGTCGTATATTTTGACGTTTTCTGTTTTGTGAAGAGCTAAATTGGCTATCCATTTTTGGCTTCCGTGATTTATAACTTTCTGAGAGATACTGTAAACCACTGTGAGGTGTTCTTTTGGGTCGTTGGTAGGAGAGATGGCGCTTATGTATAAGGAATTCGAGCAGTTTGATGTAACTTCGACGTTGATGTGTGACGGATCGAAATTGTATCCTGTAGAATGAAGGTCGCTGAAAAATAATGATGGCATCATATTGGTGTGTTTTTCGTTTAAATTTACTTACTTCATATGAGTATTGGTCATAGTTTTTATTTCGTTGAAATTTTTCTAAAAAAGAAAGGATAACGTTAAATATTTTTTAATAATAAATAATAAGGTAAACGTTCCTATTATTGGTACCTTAAGCTAATTGCATACCGTAGGGCATGCTTTCAATTCATTTTGATATAGAAAATACCAGAATAACCTATAATATTTTGAAAGAAAGTAAATGCCTTATATTTATAAAAAACAATAATGTAAAAAATTCGATGTGCCCAGTGTTTTAAAACACATTTAACAACATAGTATATTCAGAAACGATCCTGTGCTCGGTGCGCAGATGTTTTGTTGTGGACGTCTGTAAACAAACGTATACGTCAGCATAGTGGCGTTCACCGAGTTGCATAAGCTCTACACCACCCAAGGCCAACCAGTTTCTGGCACGTAGACATGCATATCTTTTCTTTGAACGGTAAAAAGACCAGATCGTTTTGGACTTCGAGAGAAGTCAGACGGGTCTCAACACAAAACTCGATGATAGTTACGCTTTTGTAAATACATAAGTTCTTTGAGCAAAGATACTAAAATGATAATAAGTAATGTTAACCCTAAGGCAGTGTTAAGTCTCTAGGTGTTTGTAAATAAAGTGTAGTGTAAATATGTAAAATTTAAAAGTGGTCGTACAGCGTTTTGCACAATAAATTGCGTTTACGAAGTTGCTGGAATTTCATTATCCGAATGAAAATATTTGCAGCTAGCACCGAAAGGAGACAGTCCACTTGATAAGCGAGCCTTAGAGCTGTATTCATAATTTGTGTTGGGTTCAACTTTTGGTAAACTACAAATCCAACACCCAGATTATCCCAAAATAAATTCGTGTCCTAGTTTTCGACACAAGGATCCTTTTAACGGCACCGTATTATTAATCAAGCTAAAATTGAGATTTATAAATATGTAAAAACATTTTTATTAAGTAAATAACACAAAATTCGAATAAAACATTCCTATATATATTCTATGAAAGCTTAATACAAAAGATTTGGTATTCCAATGGTAAAGGTCAAATTTGAATTAAACTCAATAATTTACTGGTCATTGACAAAAAAAAGGACATTGTAAATCATATGTATCATTTTCGGTTAGTTCGAGGCAATCCTCATGATACTTTAGACAGGAAAAACAAAGGCGCATGACTGTTGAAGGTTCATTGTTTTCTTTCATTGAGAATAGGTCCTTCGTAACGTTCTGTATTTTCCGATTATAAATTCTTCGATTAGATATCCTTTTCATAATGCGTTTTTTTTTACTTCTACAGCTGCTTCTTTCTTTTTGGTAAGGTTTTCTTTTCTTTGCATTTTCAACTGTTCCACTTGTATTTTCATTGCTTTTTTTTCTCTTTTAATAGTATTTTTGCCACTGAAATTTTCGCTTAGTAATATTTTCTTTAGGTGAAGGCCAAAATAAAGTTTTTTAAATGGAGTCGGAGTAGATGTATCTGCAACATTTTCCTGTACAGACGATAGCTCTTTTTCCAAAATATCAGAATTTGTATGATTTTTAGAACCAATTTTAATCTTATCAGAAGAGTTTTCACTTTCAGATATAATTTCTTTTGCGTCATTTATTTCTACGGCTGGGTTTAAATCTAAAATATTTTGAGCTAGTTGAACATTATTATTTTCACCATTCAACTCAGTTAATTGGGAATGTTGCTGTGAAATATCAATTATTACTTCATATTTTCCAACAGCATGAGCCTTATGTCGGATGTATTCAAAATCATTATGGGAATATCTTCAGGGATGCCTACCGTGAGAGATACATTTGTACTGTCAATAAATCCTGTTACTTCGATTTTATTTTCATTACCTATCTCTGTGAACGTGTCCTCCACGATGAATGTTTTCTGGATATTCATTATCACCTCTGTAATCTCCATTTTAATGTTGTTATTATTCACTATCCTGTTCTTCGTTTTCTGCCAAAGTGAAAAAAGATTGGTGTGTTCTACCGGTCCTTCCCAAACTGGCCCGGAAGAGTGAAATATTGTAAGGGCGTCTTCTAAGATATTTTGTTTTAAATATATCAGATCTTGTTGTTCCCGTTTCTCGACACCTCCGTTTTAAAATATTTTGAAATTGAAGGGAACAAATCCGCAAGTTCTGCAGCTATTCTTGAATATATCTGCAATATTTGTAATTTTTCGAATCATGCTTACCAAATTTGGGGCGAATGAGTCTTTAGTCAATTGTTTTCCATCCTCTAACTATGCACGCTCTTTTTTCCACTCGAGTTTTTATGGACCAAATATAGCCACATCTAGAGGTTGTTATGTGTTGGATTTGGGCAAAAAGCAGAATAATTTTCGATTTAATACAAAATTCACTAAAGGGCATCGTTAAGTGGGATGTATGTCCGTCCAAAAACAGTATAACAGGAAACTAAACGTCTTGGACAACTAACCAAGGATAAAATATATTGGCGATATACTCGTAAAAGGTTTCACCAATCATATATCCGTTTTCAGACTTCCCGATTCCCCAGTGTTTTGTTACTTTTTCGACAACTTGTTTGGGAATTCTTTCATAATTAAAAAGGATTATTGATGGTAAAATTTGACCGGAGGCACTACATGTAACCAAAGTCATCAGACATTATTTGTCATCATTCCTTACAAATGAGTACATCCCTTTTTACTGGAACTTTTCCTCCCTTTGAACTAAAAAAAAGCCGTTTAATTACAACTGCATACACAACTGGGGTCAAAAGCTGCGTCAAGATTCTTTGTAGATTCTAAGTAGGTCCCTACTTCTATAAACCACTGACGGATACGGTTTTCTGTTTCTACCACATGTGAGATTTTGGGAAATCCTTGCATACGTTTTGGATGTCTTTTTAAAAATAATTCATACCATTTACGACCAGGCTTTCCGTATGTAAAATTATTAGGCCTATCTAGTTCTTTAGTCAGTAACTGAACACTATCTGACAACTGCATTTTCGTTGCAGGAAATCCATCAGTAGATTTTCTTCTTCCTTTGTCAGGAACAGTTCTGGTCCAGATTTCTTCTCTAAAGACGTTCTACCTTTAACTTTCTCTTGTAGAGTCGATCTGGGTATGTAATAGATTTTGCTACCGATTTTAAATGGCATTCTTTACTAAATAGCATCAACAGTATTGTAGCGGTATGACCGAAAGACAGGCTTCTATCGGTTTTTCCTCTCCAATAAACAAACTAGGACCTTGGCAAATCATGAACTATATTAAATAATAATGTTGGAAAATACCGGTGCGATCCACAGGCCTGTGAGGATTAGTACTTGGATGAAAACGTCAACTTCTGATTACACACTTTATTTTAAACACTATTGAAATAATTTTATTTTTTTGTTACATAGTGCACTTGAAAACTACATTCTTTTTACACTATTTAAAGTATTTCTCTAGGAAATGTATTACTTAAGCCATTTTTAATGTATTTGTTATGTTGAACGATGGCGTATGAAGCGTCGTCTTTTTAACACAGAAAAACGCTGTGATGTATTTTCGTTGAGAGGTAGAGCTCGATTTTTTGTGAAGAGCACACTTCGTCATATTGTGCAGAAATCAATTTGAGTTTGTAGGCGTGGTCAGACAGATTTAAACGTGATTGAAGCCACCTGCCGCTCATCTCCGCTCATACAAGTTGAATTCAGTAGCTTAGTGTTACTTATTTGTACTTGTTTATTTATTTATTTAGCTATTTTGGGTGTGGCATAGCTATGACGAAATGTGCTCTTCACAAAAAAATCGAGCTCTACTGCAGCTCTGGCACGAAGAAGGAGACAAGCCGCCAAGCGAACATATGAGTCACACTCGACGTTGACCAATTAGAAAGTGCATAATGCCTGTGTCACTAACCAATAAAAATGGTTACCGCGTATGTATAACCAATGAGAAGTGGAAAAGAAGTAAATGATGCCCGTTGCGTATAGAGATGTTCGATACATAGAAAAGTATTGATACTGCGTATCGATTCAGATCGAAGTTTAATGTATCGATACACTTTAATATCGTAAGCACAGGTATCGATACTCAAAATATCGATATTGTATACTAATGTACATGGTACAAGTAAATTAATTTTAAAATATTGATGTAAAATAATCATATACGGAAGCATAAATAGATTTTAAGATATAATTAAAAAATATATACAGTATTTCAACCAATGTTTAATATCTTATATCCATATATGACAGTTTAAATTCATAATTAGTGATTCATAAGTGTTATTTTATTTTCGATACGATTTAACATATACATGTATCGATACGGGATATTTTTAAGTCGTAGAATATCGATACAAAATATCGAGTTTCCAACTCCTGAATATCGATACTGTCAAATATCGTATCGAATCGCACATGTTGCGTAGTTATTTGTTGAAAGATCTTTCTTATCGGCCAATAGGGGATCTTTAATAGGGAAATGCTTACTCGTGTTGTAGTACTGTGCACCACCCATAGATGGCGCTACTTTACACAAAGTTTGCTCGTTGCATTCGTCGAGCAGATTCAGAGTGTATTCAGAGCAGGTTCAGAGTAACGCAAGTGTACGAAAGTTGTTATTTAAAACTTTCAACAGCTATTCATAGAAAAAAAACGCTATTAATGGCAATAATGGTAATGGTTGATTTGTTTTATTAGGTTAGTTGTTCGAAGAGAATTTTTAAAGCTTTAAACATATATAATTATGGTGCGAATTCGTCCTTGTGCTGATCCAGATTGTCAGGATAAAATTAGTCGCAGGTAAGGAATAAATTTACAATTTTATTTCTTTACAAGTAAAAACTTCTTTTTGTATTTTATTCTTAAATACTTTGCCAAATTTTAAGAGCATATATTATTAGTTAAAAGTACCCAATTTGTGAAATAAATTTCCAAAATAATGCGGGTAACCTAATGTTTGCTAGGAAAAATTAAAAATCTTAACCTAACTTTTATCATTTTCTATACAATATCAGTAACTAGATAATATATGTGAATATTAAGAAGATTGAAATAAATAGTGTTATTAGTATTTTTTTAGAATTATACAATATGTAATGGATACTTTATAGTAGATACCTATATACAATTTTTTTTCCGAATTCAAAATGAGGTACTTTTCAAACACCAATAATTGTATATTTTATATTGTGCGACTCTTATTATTTTTTGCTCCATATACTGTGACCTACCTCACCTAGGTATCTTCACAATTTATTGATTCCAATTAATAAAAGTTGCATTCTTACTAAATTCAAATTCCTTCATTTTATTGAAAAATCTTCTACGATATATTTTTAAGAAATGCCGATTCATTCTCACTAGCTAATAAATTAATAGCTCAGCTGAATTGACTCAAAACAAAAATAATAAAATTGAACTTTATATTTTTTAACTGACACTCTTCTTCATTTTTTACATGAAAATGAATCAGCAAACACTGCAATAGGAAGTGACAAGTACCCCCAACAGCAGCCACAGCCAACTTTCCCCAGGAACTTTTGTTACAACTTCTAGTGAATACAACCATGGGTGAACTTCGTAATAGTTTTATATTCATACTTTATTATTGTGTACTGTAATAAGAATTTGTGCAATTTTAATTCTAATAATAAAAAATATATGGTTATAATCGTGTTTTACTTCATAATAAGATGTATTTTTTGTTCCACAAATCCAAAATTACAATTTTTCGTTTTCTTTTTAACTTAAAATATTTCAAATTTTATCTATCACAGAACATAACCCAATGGATTATATCCATATAAGTATGTTGAGTGAAGAATAAAATGTTTGAATCATTTTAAGTAAAAAAGAACGAAAAATTATAATTTTGAAAACTTAGTAGTGGTTTATTAGAAAGGCCGAGTTTGAAAAACCCGCGCTCATTGACCCCTACCGCCATCTATATAATAAATCTTGAACAAATTTTCAATTATTAGTTATCTTCTTTTTTTTTAACTCAACTATTTGCAACCGCTACGGATGGCGCTGAAAGATGAGTAAAATTTTTCACTGTTGAGTGGCCCATCTTTAAAGGGTATGGTCTGTGCAAGGTAGTGCCGGGAGTATACACTGAGTAAATGAGGGATTAAACGAATATGTTTGAATAAAATGTATATTTAATAGTAAACAAGTGTATAAAAGATTATGTGATTGAATAACGAGTGTGTAATTCAAAACTGAATATGTAAACGAGTATTGAGTATGTAATAAAGTACAAGAGTGTGTTTAGAGTAAACGAATGTTTTGAGTAAACAAATGTGTAATTGAGTAAATGAGTGAGTATAAGAAGGAGCCTCGAATCAGCGGCAACGGGTCTATTTAGAAGATCACCCTATACACCAGAGGTCGTAAGAAGGTGAGATACCCGTTTGACCATTATAAGAGCTAGATAAAGCATGTTTTAATATCAAGATGTATCCAACTTTAAGATCTGGCTATTAGATAATTGGTCAATCATTTGACAGGTTATTATACTTATGTTCACGGAGCATTACATATATTATATTTACGAACAAATATACTTGTATTTTATTTATAACTAATAATTTTGCAATATTATTTATTGTTGTTAGTTTAAGTAATGTTGTTTCATCTTTGTTGAGGTCTAGTTATTGTTGTCTAGTCTAGTTAGTGTTGATCTTAGATATGAATGATGTACTGATGTCAAATGTAATTTTTTTTAGACTTCAAAAGAAGAAGTAGACGATGACGATGAGGATACGTGCTTTGTGATGACGATGTAGAAATAAAATAATAAAAACGCTAATAATTGCTGTTCCAGGCTTTTATGACATTTTGTAGATAAAGAAAAGAAACGAATATAGGTATTTTTAATTTTTTAAGTGTGTATGTGTGTAAATTTTATTAGAATTAGCAGTTCGGCTGTTAAGACAATCATCTGGATATTATAAATGTAAACAACAATGGAATGATCGATATTAATTTGTTCTTTTTTTACATTTATAATGCAAGCTCTTGGCGAATACTAATAAAATTTCCACATTTAAAAAGAGATACCTTTTCTTCGTTTTTCTTTTATCAATCTGTATGTACCTACACCTACAAACCTTTGATTTATTTTATAAATAATTGAAGTAGTATAAATTAATTTGAATCTATTGGAAACAATCCTCTGCGTGTACATATAATAAAAAGTATAATTACTACACTTATTCATATAGGTAATTAAGGTATACAGATTCAACATTTTTGTACCTACCCTTTTTATCACTTTATCAAGTTATAAGAACCATATTTTATTGCTTTTAGGAGATCCATCCATGTGAGATTGTTTACGACTGGTAACAAAACAAGCATGTATCTTTGGAATGTGTTTATTAGTTTTCTAAAATGTGGCAGTTATAATTTAATACCTACTGTTCCGTAAACATAACATCAAAATGTCACTTAACACTTATTTTTCAATGTCCTCACTTTATTTTGATGAAATGTAAGGGTGGTTATTTATTATAGGTATGTGGTAGTATTTTTCTTCTCGTTTTTTTCACTTTTCATTTCGTTTGTTACATAGAGTATGATTAGTAGACATTAATAATAAACCATTTAAAAAAAAATTGGATATAGACGTATTTTTTACTTAATAAAGATAAAATTAACCGAATTTTTCTGACAGTTCGCAGACATTATTTGTTTTCATTTGCAGTACTCTTAAACTAGGTAATAAAGAGGCAGTAATTTAAGAAGAAAACACTTCATTTTACATTGACTTACATAGAAAAATGACAGTACTACTGTTCGACATGCCAACTACAATCAATTTCGCAAACTTTATAAGAAGAAGGGCGGAAATTTGACCATTGCCGATTCGCCTCCTTTGAATCGCGAATAGTGTATAATATTTCATTGTTATTATTTGACTAAACACAATCACGTCTTGTAATATTTCTGTACATCTTCTGACAAAAACTTATCGTAGGTACCTAGGTACGATACAAATAATGAAATATAAGTTCTGAAATATACCTCTGTGTTTCGAACACTCTGGTTTCGAACATTCACAAGTAACAAAAATAGGTAACAGATATATATGAAAATGTATTTACCTTATTAGGAAGTGCCCATCCTATGGAAATAAGTGCAATAATTAGAAGAGTATGCATATTGTTCAATTTTTAGAGTAAAACTCGTATTACCTATATCAAAATAGACCTCACCACTAAATTAGGTTCTAAACACTTAGCGAGATAATATCAGTGTGATAAAAGCTATAAATAGTATGTAATATTTAAATTTATTTCCATTAAAATGTGAATTTTTATTTATTAATTTAATAGTAATAATAATGAAATATATATTAGTTAATACGGCTAAAATTATATTTAAAATATCTAACTGTTAGTTGTTCGGATAAAAAAAAGTCATAGTGTAGCCTGTTGGGTATTGTATTTAGATACATCATTGTATTTAGATCATTGGGTGTTTAGACAGCCTAGTAGTACAATCTCAATTCAAATTATCTCGGAGGACAATAGACAGTACCAAAAGATGGCAGCAAGCCCAATCGTGTCCAAGTCATGTCTTTGATAATTTTGTCGTCTTCTACCAGGGGCTGGTAACTCAAATGGAAAAACATGAGGTTGGTAATTTAGTACCACTCCAGTTAACGGGATGGCGCTCGTATCGAAATGTCATGTCAGTTGTCAGCTCGTCAAAAGTGTCAAAACTTCAAACTTGGAGAAATTAAAATGGCTATTGTATTTGAAGGTGTATTGAATTTTGATTCATCTAGAATCTTGATTTATTTTTCAACATCTTCCAATTTTAAGCATGTTTTCAAAAGATGGGAAGATGGATTTCAGCAACAAACAATAAAGCACTCCCAGATATTGGTAGTAATGCAATTTATACCACATTAAATATGCAGTCGTCCCCCAAATTGGGGTCTGTCGAGGGATCCTGAGATGCGAATTTTACAAAAAAAAATTTAAACACTCAAAAGTAACTAGTTTGTATAGTAAATTTTTGTAAAAAATTTCCTGTAAAACCCAGTATTTTTCGAAAAAAATTTAATTAAAAACCTCAATTTTATAGGTTATATTCACAAAACATCTACTCTAGATTCTGTCTAGATGAAAGATTCGGTCTTAAAAATTACAACGTTGCTAAGTTGATAATGAAATTGTGAGTTTCAGGATTATTTAAAATGTATAAATTATGAGATTATAAAAAACAACGACTTCTCGTAGAAGCCGCCACCAGAAAATATCAACCCATAGTTCGAAAAAACGTTTATTTGAATGAGAGATTGTTTGAAAAACTTTTATTCGAAAATACTTTTAATCGAAAACTAACCTAACCTAACCTTACCTAAAATTCACTTATTGATTATTAAACTATTAAAACTGACACAGAGTAAATATTATTTTACAGTGTTGGATAAAATAATCAGAAAATGACTTCAAGTAGGTACTTGTTGTTGTCCTACTTTTTCCAGTTTGGTCGATTTAAAAATTTCTTTTATGGTATTAATTTTAGCCAAAGCGTCTGTAACTAATGTCCCCGTGGGATATAATTTTGTTGAATTATTATTTTAAGGTGTTTTTCTAAAAAATAAGGCATTATTAAAGTGAGGTTATGAAATTAAAAGGCAAATAAATTAAGACTTACTGTTTTTAATGATAAATTTTACTAGTTCCGGTATACCACAGTTCCAATAATGGCAAATAAATAATATAAAAAGACAATATATAAAAACACACAACCACGAAAAAGTAATGACAATGTCAACAGACTGGCGCTAAAAATTATACAATGGCTGTCCCAAGAAGAAGGCAGCTAGAGGAAGAACACGACTCGATGTGCGCGTGCGAGACACCAATCAGCCAATGACAATGACGAATGACGATCTACATGCGCTGGAGTGCGTTTAGAAACCTCGCACGGCGCGACTGGACGTTGCAGAAATCGTTCAGAAAGTTAGGTAAGAAATGACGTCACGACTCAAAATCTTAGTTGCAACCGTTCATAAATTACGTCCTGGTTACAACTTTACGTCCTTCTCAAAAGCAGGGTGTTTGGGACGTGTCATGCGCACAACAAATATTATTTGTTAGTGGGAATTTCGAGTTTTATATGTGTTACGTGTATTATCTTGGCAAATTGTTTTTATTTACATAATTAATATTTTATTGTTAATTATGATTCCTTATATGTATACAGTAATCCAAGCTGTACAAACATACTATAGACTATTTTTTGAACAGGCAGAAAGTGACAATGAAGATGAGGAAAATGAAGTTGTAGAATTGCTGTTTTCTCGGGCCATAAAGAGGTCTCGATTAAACCTTAGAGTACCTGTTCGAGTGCCACAATATATAGAACGGTGTATTGGAAACTCTTCAAATGCCGAGTTTCAATCTCATTTTAGAGTTTCACGCCAAGCATTTGAAGGGGTTTTGGAAATAGTGCGTCCAGATTTGGAAAGTAATAACGTTATAGGCAGACCAAATATTGATTCTCAAAAGCAATTATTAAGTTCTCTATGGCTTTTAGCCACTCCTGATAGTTATAGGTAATATATAAGTAGGTAGAATATAATCTGGTATCTCTTCATACAGCACACATTATTTTAGAAGTGTTTCAAAAATGTTTCAAACAACATTTCAAGCACAAGTTTCTGAAATATTTTAGTTAAATATTTCACTGAAAATATTACACAAAAGGTTACTAAACAGGTTATATTGTAAAAGGCCAACAATTAATGAATAATGTCTGATTTGAAAGTAGTTTTTTCGTATCATTATCATTCATTATTCATGTATCATAAGTGATATGTGTGTCTCATGTCCTTGTCCAGCTAGAAACAAGCCTAAAGATTTGAGTTGTCCGTTTTTGATATATTTATGCCTTGTGCTGTTATTATATGAGACACAGAATATGTTTTTAGAAATTGAGGTGAGAACTACATAAATAATGTTTGTTTAGGCATAAGTATTGTTTTATTATAGTTAATTTAAAACAATATTAATAAAATTATTGTTAATCAAAAATTTGTATGAATCCCTTTTAATTACCTATAATTTGTTTCAGATTAGTGCATTTAAAAGAAGCAATTTGCCAGCTTTGGAGCTGTGCCAGTAAAAGTAACATCCAAGTTAATCAACGTTTCCAGAATATAAACTATTAAGGAACATCGTCGATGCATCTTGGTACTGCCGCAATACTGATCTTCATAGGGACTTAAAGTGGAGACTGTTGAAAATACAATACAAAAGTTTTCCAGTAGTCACCAACAACGACTGCTCCAACATGGAAACCTTGAGATTATCCAGCTCCTCAACAATGCCAATCTAATAAGAAGACTCAAGAGAACCAGGCCTTTTAAGATAGTTTACTGATGTTAGATTAAAGCAGGAGTATATAGTGCCGTTAAGTGTTAAATATATATACGTTAACGGTAGTGTAACTAAATAGACTCTAAAGTACACTAGTGAGTAGAATCTTAGTTTATGAAGTTTTTGATCCCTATATAAGTTAGGTAAAAATAAAATTGCTAATTGATCTTAATGATTAGATTGTAATAATCGTAAATGTTTCTTTACTTCAGGCATTTATTTAAAAAAACCCAGTTGTTTCAGATTAGTGCCTTTAAAGGAATTAGTGGAAGTGAAGCAATTCGCTTCTATATTTTATGAGATATTGTTTAACACTTATTTATTTGTTTAAGAATCAATGTTTGAGTATTGTGTATTTTAAATAAACATGTATATTTTTAAATGTCTTTTTTTTAGTCGTAATAATATTTTAGAAAAAAAAACAAGAATACATTTCTGAAATATTACCAGTTAATATTTCTAAAAGATTTCAAATTTTTATTTCAGAAATATTACTGTGAAATATTTTATTTACGTGACATTTTTAGGATTCAGGCACATATCATAAATGTTTCTGGGATGTTTCGTAATATTTATACAACATTATAAATGACTCAATGTAACATTGTTGAAATATTTTCGAAATGTGTTTGTGCTGTATATTGTTAGATGGTTTCATTTACAATATTTTTTATTGTAGATCTGTTGGCGATCGGTTCAATATGGGGAAAGCAAGTTTACATGTTTCGGTTTTAAGGGTAGTATATGCTTTAAACAAACTTGCTCCTCATATAATCAAGTGGCCATCAAGGGAACAACTAGTAGCTATCGAAAATCAGTTTTTTCAGTTGGCAGGAATTAGGGGTGTTGTAGGAGCTATTGATGGCACATACGTGCCAATTAAAGCACCATTTAACAATCCTCAAGTGTACATAAACAGAAAATGTTTTTATGGTATTACACTTCAAGCAATATGTGATTCCAATAGAAGATTCACAGACTGTTTCACTGGATATCCCAGTTCTGTTAGCGATATAAGAGTTTTTAGAAATTCAGATATTTACACAAGAGCCATGGCAGAGCCTCAAAGGTTTTTTGCAGAAAATCAATTTATTATTGGAGACAAAGCCTATCCCATCTTAGCTTGGTGCATGCGCCCATATATTGATAGAGGAAATATGAATGAGCTAAATGTTCGTTTTAACAAAGCTCATGCTCAAACAAGGCAAGTTATAGAGCGAGCATTTGCTCTACTATTTGGAAGGTTCAGACGTCTTCGCTATTTGGACATGAATAGAACTGATTTAATTCCGGCAACAATTATAGCCTGTTGTGTATTGCATAATATTTGTTTAGCTCACAATGAGGTCGATGTAGAAAATTATGAGAGGGAAGGAGAGGTATTTGTTGTTGGAGAGAACAATGTACAAGAGTTTCATCCTGAAATCGATCCAATTATAATCAGAAATAGAGGAATACATTTAAGAGAAAACATTGCGTTGCAGCTCCAACAAAGATAAAATGAGCTAAAAGTAGTTTTTAAAATTGATAATAAAAAACTTTATTTATTTTGTTTTATTTTCACCTACAACAAAACATAAAATCGCTAGATAAAACTAAAAAAAAAATTAAATCTTAAATTATTTAACATTTGCCCCGCTCTCTAAGCCTTTTTGGATGAAAATAGGTTTAATTTTATTGAATTTGGTAAGCTGTTAAAAAACAACGCGGGAGACGCGTTGAAGGCTTTTTTGATGAAAATATCTAACAATTTTTTAGAAAATATAGGTACTTTTATAATTTTAAACTTAAACACTAATTCTTAGTTAAAATCACAAACAAAAAATTAAACTAGACATTCTTTCTGAGACCA